CAGAGGTAAGTCCATTCTTTATCTATAATTACTGGAAAAATAGAATTGGAAGTCACATTAGAGGCAAGAAATGAAGATGTCAACAACTTCTCGTATTCTAGTCATAATAAAGAGCTATGTTAGGTCTAGGAAAGGTTAGGTGGTGGTGGTGGCAAGGATTTTTTTTTCTTGACATTTACTTTTGAATTCCTATTTTCAAAACAGTACTGTGAACTACAGTTCAAATGGAAAGAGTTCCTAACAAAAGTCCAGGGAAACTGTTAATTTTGACCTCCAGTAGAAAATATTGTTGAATTCAGTTTCACAGGACAATTTCGTAAAATATCCTGCCGAACTTGCAGGCATTATTATACTCGTATCTAAGTAAATATAATTAAAAGAATTTGTTTAGAAATACCTACTCGCCTTAATAGTGTTTACATTTTCCTTGTGTGTATCTGCCATGTTTCATTTCTTTTGTGTGTTCTGATAAGAGATGTGTGAACTCTGGAGAATTTTTGCCATTTTTGTTTAATTTAACTGTACTATCATTGGGAGGAAAGATGTCTAGCAACATCGTTAGTAGGGCTGAACAAGGCAAGTAACTGTTTACTATTCATGAAAAGAGGAAATCGATGATAAATAAACGGGTTTATTGTAACAGTATACAAAGACTACATATCATATGTGAATTATTTTGGTACCTAGGGACACTCGAGAGTCACTAGGCAAATTAAGCTTCACTGCAAAACTGAAACATTGAAAGTAATAAAAGTTCTTTGTGGGCCACCCTCAGTAGTGCAGCTTCATGGTGTTTATGGCTGTGCTACCACAGAAACTTACAAATGCTACCTGGCCCATGGACTTGCACCAGCCAACCAGAAAACCAAGATTAGAATCTGGTTTACTTATTGAGGCGAGGGAGCTTGGAAGCAAGAAGTCAACTCAAAACTAAGAAAAACCACACAGAAACTACAGGCTAAGAAGATCAAACTACTGCTCATGATATAAAATTAAAATGAATAAATTATGGTAAACATCAATTGGCAGTAAATAAAACAACACTCACACTAACTTATCCAACCACCACAAGATGGCAGCCCAAGCCATCCAGGGGGTCTAATCAGCCGCATATTACCTAAAAATGCACTCAAACCCCACAAGTAAGAGGGAAACCACTGTACCATGCAGAGTGAGGCATTTCATTACATTCAACTCCTCCTACTTATTGGAGGCCAAGGACACCCAAGAAGGGAAAGTAGGATATCTTGAGGTTATCTTGAGATGATTTCGGGGCTTTAGTGTCCCCGTGGCCCGGTCCTCAACCAGGCCTCCACCCCCAGGAAGCAGCCCGTGACAGCTGACTAACACCCAGGTACCTATTTTACTGCTAGGTAACAGGGGCATAGGGTGAAAGAAACTCTGCCCATTGTTTCTCGCCGGCGCCTGGGATCGAACCCAGGACCACAGGATCACAAGTCCAGCGTGCTGTCCGTTCGGCCAACCGGCTCCCTATAGGATGTGAATAAAAAAAGCACACCACCTCCCAGGAATCATAGCAGCAAGCTCAATTGGCAAAAGGCCACCAGTACAGCTGACAGGCAACAAAAGCAGGACAGATGCCAAGTACTGTGCATACAATTAGGGGTAATAGGACCTGTAACCCATGGACCAGTGCAGACAGCAAAAGGGCAAGGATGAAACAAATGTGGTCACAACACTAAAGCAGTGAATAATTCAGCAGACTGGCCCCAGAACAAAGGTGCCTTGAACCAGGGGCAAAACCAAGGGGGCAACCATCCTATGGGGCGACACAGCAGATATAAAATAAGCAATGAAAACATTGCACTAAAAGAGAGTAAAGTACCCTGTATCAAAATTTGGAGGAACAAGGGGGCACAAATGACCCACAGTATCTGAATACTGTACTATAAAAGTAATTAATTATCAAAAGAAGGCACCAAACCGGGAAAGCTATGTAGCACCATTGGCATCTGAATACATTAAAATGTATCCAGAAAATCTGCATGCAGCTTAATTCAGCTCTGAATTTGGTGGGGAATTCATCATAACCAAACCAATAATAGAGCAATTAAAACAAATCTCCCAGACACTCGGGAACTGGCTACTCGGGCTATTAAAGAATAGGTGAACTGTATGTTGCAAGAAACGCCATCATCACTTATCTCCAAAGGGCCGATGCATCATAGGAGTACCAGGCATGTGTGTGAGTAGGCTGAATTCCTGGGTGACCTGTAGCTCCCCCAGGTCAGCTCTGGGGAGCTACAAAATGTTCAGCCAAGGAAATATTTTCATTCCTGTTATACTGTATTGATTTATTTTCTTAACATACAGTATTGCATGTATTTTTTTATACCGCTCTATTGCATGTATTTTTTTATACCGCTGTATTGCAAAATATTTTTTATGTAATTTATGTTTTAAAATATTAATTAATACAAGTTTTAATTTATCCAGTAAATAAAGAAGCCAAACATTACCACTGAAAATAGTTCAAACTGGTATGACACCACCTACAACAGAATGTCAGATAGACCAGAGTTCATCTGACCTACTATATAAGTCAAATAGTCCTATTTGACCTATCTAAATATAGATAAGTCAAATAAACTAGATAGACTAGTAGGTCTATCTGACTACTAGTCAGATAGACCTACTAGTTCATTTGGCCAGGAGTACTGTATATAGTAGTACAAAAAAAGTAGTAATCTCTGTGCACTAGTCACTATTTTGTATATTACTTCTCAGCCCCCTTTTGTACTATCATTTTGGAGAACGAGATGCAATTTTCAAATTACAAACTTAACAATCCTTAAGGTGCTGCTCTTGGATCTTCACCTGAAGACGTAGAGATTCTTTATGTGGCCTTGTTCCTTTCACTCGTATGTTTGTTACAACAAGGAATTTGGCGAGTAATATTTCTATCTACTTTCATCTGATCTAAAGTAGCTACAACTTTTATCTACAGTTACCCTGGAACCGCTTGAATGTTTCATGAAATACTGTGTATATGACTTTGCAAGTACTGTATGTTGCTTGACTTCAAGCAAAACTGACATGATGAGAATAAAGTCCAAGAATTGTCACTGTGGCATCACCATATTCTCCTAATAATTTAACAAGATATGAGTATTATACTGTGGATTATAATACTAATAATTGCCAAGGTTTACTTTTAGAAATATCAGTACAATGTACTCCCAATCAAAGAAAAACTTGTAGTATCCCGATGGAGTCAACATTTACCTTCATTGAACTGGAATCCAGAGCAGAAAAAAAACAGGATTTTTTTTTTCCCAAAGTGATTTTGGTATTAAAATGTGCAAAAAGCATGTCCTATCATTTGCACTAATTAACTCACAATGTTTGATATAAAATAGCAAACTTCAGATAAAGAGTGGGCAGTTTGGTATGATCTGTTGTTTTAAGTGGGAGTCCAGTGTACAAGTACAGTACCTTTAAAATATACTTATATTTAAGGTTTCAAATTATTTTTAGAGAAATGATGCCAAACCAATTTTGATAAAATACAAGATTCAAATTTTGATGATTAAAAAATATAAGATTTTTTTTGTAAATATAACGGTGAATGTAAAGAAACACTTAATCTTTCTCTGTTGGTTTCTCAGTGGCTTCCCAGAGCTTCTGCTCCTCTCATAAGCTGACAGCACCAAACTCCAAAATCCTCATAGACAACAGGGCAGGAAAAGGGAAGTTGCTTAGGGGTCAACCATAAAGCTTCATATCGTTACATTAATCACTTGATTTCTGGGTTAGCCCCCCTCAGTACCAAGCACCCCTGAGCTTACTAACAACGATATCTTAGAAAGAAGGATGGCAGCATTGATGAAACAACAGACAAGATGCAAAAGGGTTGTCCTGTGGGAGGGGGCAGAAAACTAGAGCACAGGGATGGAGAGAGCCAGAGTCCAGAGAAAGGCACAAGAAAAAATTCTAAAAATCCTGTGATAGCCGGACTCAATGAAGAATGGACTAATGCCAGTCAGCATCAAAAGACAGTACTCAACCAAAGAAACAAAGCTTAGGAAACTGACCTGGAAAGTGGAGAGCAAAGGTTCCTGTATAGATACTACATATCCAAAAGGGACCAAAGAACCCAAAGAAACCAAAAAAAAAAAAAAAAAAAAAAGTTGAAGAAACCAAAAGTGTCACAGATCTGCACCCAAGATCACACCCAGGCACAAAATCTGGCCAACTGAAGGAAACCAGCAGCCGGGCACCAAACTGAACCAGACATGATTACCAAAGAGTATTAAGGGGGGGGGGGTGCATGGAAAATCAGGGAAATGAACAATCAAAACTTTGATCCAGGAGGAAACCCTCAAAGGATCCATCCAATGAGGGAAACAACACCAGACAAACGATTAACTGACCCAGGAAACATCATCATTAACTTAAAAAAAAAGCAGTTTAGAGATCCAACAGAGATTATGGGCCAATCTCTCACACCCATACTACTCTCAACTTGTTGCAAAACCAAAATTCTGGTCATAGCTCCCAGTAGGCCTGTGTAAGTCTCAAGAGGCCTTTAACCACCTGGGGCTAGAGTCACAAAGAAGTTACGCAAACACTTACGAACCTGTACATCTATTCTCAATCTTTGGCGGCTTTGTTTACAATTATTAAACAGTTAATGAGCTCCGAAGCACCAGGAGGCTGTTTATAACAATAACAACAGTTGATTGGCAAGTTTTTATGCTTGTAAACTGTTTAATAAAGGTAACCAAAACCATCAAAGATTGAGGAAAGATGTACACATTCGTAAGTACTTGCATAACTGCTTCGTGAATCTGGCCCCTGATGTCTTAGTGGTACCATCACTTAAGCCCTGGAAAATTACTGAGGAACCAACCCAGAAACGTGCCTAATAATCATTTCTTACATTAGTTGAACTTCATATTAAAATATCATATATACATATAAAAAAAAGAGCCCATACTTTGATATTAAATGTTTTGTGATGGAATTACAATACTGAGTACTTTACCTCAAGTATAATTTCTGTGATATACATCTTCATGTAAGTACATGAATCTCTAAATATGTGATTATTCTAATGCATACAGACTTGAGACATGCAAGTCAGGCTCAAATTGACGGGTATAACAAATTAAGATGGCTGTACAGTATTACAATTTAATAATAAAATAATGAAAAAATAGAATAAAAAAATACATATTAAATGATATATGACAACATTCTTATTCAGTACAAACACATTGAAACCAGCCCCTAGTACAAGATGCTACACTTTCCTTAATAGTTACAGGTACTTGTAGGCTATTTTGTCAGCTTGGCTATGTGCACCGATGGATTTCAAGAGGTCGCACACTTCTTTCAGAGCAGGAGAATGAGCAGCTGGATCAAGCTTCTCAGAAAGCTTCATTAAGAAGTCTTCAAGACGCCCGAGGAAAGCATGAGTTCCTTCACTTTTTACCCAGGCTCGAGGCAGTGCATTAATTACCTGCAATGTTGCATAATTTAATTGTATTACTGCATAAGGAAATTAGATGATCTAAAAACAGTACTACAAAGAACAAGAAATTTAGCTTAATTGCAGAAGATGTAGGAAGGTAACCCCGGGTCCTCAATGCCACACACACCTTATAATACAAATTATATGATGCAACATACTTAAAAATAAAAATTCCAATTATATCAAAATACAATACAAACCATATGAAATATTCTTAAACATGCAAACCCATGCCTCAATTTCTGAGAAAAATGCAGGTGGGACAGTGGGTGCAGAGGATGGAATGGGAGGGTGTGGGGTGATCATGCACCGAGAGGTGGAATGGGAGGGTGTGGGGTGATCATGCACTGAGAGTTGAAATAGGGAAATGAGTGGTGGTAGGAGTCAAAGGGAGTGGGAGGGAATATAGAGAAGGGCAGAGTTTGGGGGTAATTGGGAAGTAGGGATTGGGTAAGGGTTTAATAAGGTAGTCATTGGGAACAGTTGGTGCAGTGGAGTTGGGTTATAGCCACAACTGGTGATAAAACTCTCTGGACTAGTCTAATTAAATTAAAAATAAAGCATCTGGAAATAACATACAAGTACTTACATTTCTACATTTATCAAGTGCATCGGATGGATTTATCTCGGCGGCTAAGTTGAGTGCTGGCAACAGGTACAGATTAAGTAGGGAACGAACAGCTAGATCATGAATGACTGAATCACTCAAGACCTTGTGCCACATTAATGTAGAGCTTAAAAGTTTCCAAGCCACCCAAAACTGACGCTGGAAGAACAGGCTCACGCCCGAGTTCTTATTGTCATATATACTGCAAAAGAGAACACACACATGTAAGGTATCAAAATCAGGGGTTTTAAAAAATATCAAACTTTAAATGAGGTGCTCTTCAATAACAAATATTTCCTAACTTTATTCATACCGGGTGTACACTAGGTGTTTACCTATCAGTGACTATGGGGGAGTGAGATCTAGCTCTTTATGCCTTGCCCCCCATCCAAAATGCATTCTCTATCCACTTTGGCTATTCCCTAATCATCTTATATACTGTGATCATATCATATATTGTCCTTCTCTTTTCTAATTTCATTACATTTATTGTTCTTAGTTTGTCCTAACAGCTCATCTCTCTCTCATGTCTAGTACTTGTCCTGTGGAATGTTTTTTGACCTTAATTGTTTTTTGTTTTGGATTTGATGCTCAAGCAATATATTCTAGGAATGGCTTAACACAACTTGGTTAGGTCCTAGTTCACAAATGTCTAATGTCACAAGAACTTCCAGTAGTGGCCATACTTTACGCCAGACAAATCCCTCTTGACTTAAGCTTTCAGTCACCTTCTATGACATAAGAATGCACAGGGTTTATTGACTTAAGAACTAATCTCATGGCTTTACAGAAAACCTTAAGTCTACACAAAAATGATTACAACACTAATACATCAATGCATGACTAAAAAAATCTAAAACATACAGAAAAAGATAAAGCACTTACTTTTTAGGAAACATGGGGATGAAAATATCATTATCTATTGCGTCTCTAATCTTTGAGATGATGGCGTGAGTGAGATCCTTCAGAGGCTTGGAACTTGGCCCTAAGCTTGGGTATGCCTCAGCATAATGTCTCACCATATTGACTAGTCTCACTGTTTGTATATGAGACAGAGGATCCCACCAACATCCAATAATTTCTGGGGAGGAGAAAAATATTATTCATGGGGCCCCTCTGTTCTGGACTATGAAAGCACCACAATTATAGAAAAAATTAAAACATAGAATATCTTTTTTTTGCAACATACAAAACCAACTCATTGTATTCAGTTTGTAGTGATCTTGCATATTACAAACTGTAAAAAAAAAAAAAGAGGCTACTGTACTTAATTAACCCTTGGTGTGCCTTAAGTAGCTATAGCTGCTCAACAAAATGTGGTTTAATTTAAATAGAAACAGCTATAGTAATTTTTATTTTTAGTTAACCATACAGCCATACTTATTCTAAAATAAAAATAGCTCCAAGTGATGACAAGTACTATCACAATTTTTGCGAACATACTGTATTGTATACAATGGATGGCCAAGGTTCTTTCTATGTATGACACACTGATGGTCAAATGCTCACCATACAGCACACATAATCAAATTCCATTTGACCTCTGCACCTTAGACCTTTAAGTGTATACAAGGAATCAGCTATTGTTTGTAATATTAACATGTGTGTGTGGGAAGCTTTATTCACTTATCTTGATTAAAAGATAATCATTTAAAGAAAATTTGTGACCAATATATACAACAAAAGAACAGAAAAATGTGGGAAATTAATGATGAATCTCATGACAAATTTGTTATTGCTCAAACTTTAATTTTAATTAATGTATTTTCTCCGCAAAACATAATAGTTCTGAAGTTTGTTCAAGCAAAGATTATAAATTCACTGATACAATTATAGATATAGATATATATATATGCAGTCACAATTAAAAAACAACTAGAATCCAATTACTGTACCTTTCACATAAAAATTCATGAACTTAACAAGCACGGCACATTATTTGTACACATCTACCATAATTCATTATTACTAAACTTGGCTACAAAGAATACTGCAAAATACTTATATCTGTTATAATTTAAATCTCTTTGGTTATGAAATTTAAATTTAAATTTGTTATGAAAAACATTTATATCTGATAAATGCTCAAAAAGCTCTCTTACCTTTTAATTTTATCAAAACGATTTTTTCCACAAGATGTGACATTAACTTGCGATCTGGATCTTCTCTTAAACGTGAAGGATCATCATCTGTATTATCACTAGTGCCGTACAGGAGGAGGAGGTTAAACCATTTCATCCTCTCAACTTCAATTCCATCACTGTCTCTCATCAGCGGATTCCAAAGTAACATCTGAAGTCTGTGGGAAGGACAAAGAAGCAGTATAAATTATATGTTACTGACTGCTAAATACTTGGCTGCCATTGGGACGTACTGGGTAGTGAATCTCTCTCTTTTCTCATTGTCTTGCCCATTTGATTCACTTTCAATTTTTTACATAGAAGGTAAATTGAGCGAATGCATTAAGTCAGCTTGCCGTATGAGATCATGTAACACACCAACCATGTACGCAACAGCCAAACCAGAATCAATTCGTCAAGTGTATCACTTGTTGCAGAAGCTTGAAAGATCTAGAGTTGGTTAGTAAATGAAGTATGAAGAAAATAATGGCACTGTATTTGATGTATTCTGCCCTGTTCTAAATAGAGGTAAAGATAGGTATAAACATAAGCACAATTATCTCTACGAGAAACGCATCGCTGCCCACCGAGTACGAGTGTGTGTCTAAATAAAATGTCAACTATGTGTTAGGCAAGTATACATGCATAAAAATTGCATAAGGCATCGAAAAAGCTTGTCTAAAATATTGGAAATTGCAAGCATAAAGAAGAATTAATACTGTATGAGAAAATTTCTTCTTGTTCCATGGTTTCACATACAGTACTGCTTTTTTCCCATGGCCATAACTTAACATTATCCAATAATTTACTTTTCCATATTATTAATCTGTGATACATCTATCCTATTTTTTACCTATATATGCTGATTATCTTGCTTTATCAACTGCTGCATTTTGTATATGTATACTTTTTTATATGCTAAGCACACTTGTACCAACAATTACAGAACATACTTTGTAAGCCAAAGACCTGTTTTTGACAATAAAATTAAAAAGTGCATGATCACAAAATAATTGTGCACTGCTGTGTATATAAAGTAACAGAGAAGGAAAAATATTAGAGCATAATAATGTTCATAAGGCTTAAATAAATGGCAAGTGTAATTGTGTACACTAATAGCCTAATGATCATGCTGGTTAGTGAAGATTACACAAAAGGCAAATGAATAACTTTCTTTCTGAAATGTGTAAATAACAGGTCATTTCTCTGTTACTGACCTTATATAAGGAGAGAATATTTTGGGCAAATTATAGGATACATAGGCATCTGAATATGTGGGGCCCTCCTTACTGCGCCAATCCTCAAATCTTGCCATGATGCGCTTTAACTGAGAGAAGTCGTCTTCTACATCTTCAAATATTTTTCGTGCTTCAGAAGCAATGTGCTCTGTGGTAAATAGTATTAGATTTATGTAATAAACAGAATAAGTTACAAAGTTCTAATGAGGACCACTTCAAGCAATGCAACCATTACAAAAATGGTCTATCCTACTTCTAGCAAACATACATCTCTGATGACAGAAAGGCTTCCAGGTAGCCCTGTTTAAACGTAACTCCTTTGGCCAATTCTATTCTCAGATGCTCCCCAGGGGACCATTCAAATATGTATACTCGCACATGTTTTTCTTAATTGATTATTTCCAAGAATCTGGACTTTAGATTTGTTTCAATCCATGTCCAAGATTCCCTCCAATAGTCAACAAATTCATCTGGGATAACATTTATCCCACTCATAATCCTTTCTTCACATTCAGGGGGTAACATCTCTCACTCACAGACCAATCCTCACATCAAAGGGGTAACATCTCCCACTCACAGACCAATCTTCACATCCAGGGGGTAACATCTCTCACTCACAGACCAATCCTCACATCAAAGGGGTAACATCTCCCACTCACAGACCAATCTTCACATCCAGGGGGTAACATCTCATAACATATAACAGGCATAACATCTCCCACTCACAGACCAATCTGACAGAGGTAGAGACCAGGGAGTAACCGAGACCCAACCAGAAAGACGCGTTTCAAGTCATTCAATGCTGGTTTTCTGGAAGGGCCGAATAGTGGATACCTGAAGCTAACCATGAAGAAGAAGGAAAGACCTACCAGGGAGGAGGAGCAAAGACCAAAATAACAAAGAACAACCAGAACAGGAAACCCGACCATGATAAATACAAGCCTGACGGGGTCCAGGATAACTGACCAGGTAACAAGCTGCCAGGACACTGATAGACCTCCAAAAGCCCAAGCCCGAGTATCAGTCCATGACGTTTGAAAAAAATCACGGGCAGATCATCAAATGTCCAAACATCATGGGCCTGAGGGTAGACCACAGGCTGGCTATACTGTACTTTATAACACAGCGGACAACCCAAGACAAGCCCTGGAATATTTAGTAACCAGGTTCCCTATCACTGCTGGGTGAACAGGTGTACAGTTAAGGATTGGCACCTACTCAATCCTCCCCAGATAGGATACCCGCTTGATGGGGTTCTGGGAGTTCTTCTACTCCCCAAGCCTGGCCTGAGGCCTGTCTTGATTTGAGTGTGTTTGGTTCACCAGGCTGTTGCTTAGAGGGACCTGCACATATCCACCACAGCCCAGTTGGTCTGGCACTTTTTGAAGAAAACTATCTAGTTTCCTCTTGAAGACGTCCCTAGGATACAAACCTAGGCCAAATATTTTGATTCTGTATAGTGATGTAGAATAATAAAATTAATTTTTCATATTATATATATATATATATATATATATATATATATATATATATATATATATATATATATATATATATATATATATATATATATATGTCGTACCTAGTAGCCAGAACGCACTTCTCTGCCTACTATGCAAGGCCCAATTTGCCTAATAAGCCAACTTTTCATGAATTAATTGTTTTTCGACTACCTAACCTACCTAACCTAACCTAACCTAACTTTTTCGGCTACCTAACCTAACCTAACCTATAGAGATAGGTTAGGTTAGGTTAGGTAGGGTTGGTTAGGTTTGGTCATATATCTACGTTAATTTTAACTCCAATAAAAAAAATTGACCTCATATATAATGAAATGGGTAGCTTTATCATTTCATAAGAAAAAAATTAGAGAAAATATATTAATTCAGGAAAAGTTGGCTTATTAGGCAAATCGGGCCTTGCATAGTAGGCTGAGAAGTGCGTTCTGGCTATTAGGTACGACATATATATATATATATATATATATATATATATATATATTTATATATATATTTATATATATATATATATATATATAATAAATAATTAAATAAGAATGTTTAATGTTTATAATGCATGTGTAATGAGCAACTCCATATATAAACTATAATGCACATACCATTTTTTGCAACTATACCTTAGAGCATTCTTTATTAAATTTTGATGTAAAATTCATAGACAAACATTTTTCACATCGCAGAGGAGCCCTAAGTGGTTCAAATTGTTTACATCTGGTAATGTAGCAGAAGTGCAGACTGCTATAGTGATCAATAGTTAAAAGAAATAATAAGCGGGATTAGGAGATTAGAGCAGCACTGATAAGCATTCTTACAGAGATGTGCCTTAAGGCTCTTTTTTCGTGGTCATCTCTACAGGGAGGAGTTCTCGGGAAGAATGAGACAGGAAGAGATAGAAAACTAGAAACAGAATAAAAAAATAAGGATACTAAAGTTAAATTTCTTAACTACAGGATACAAATAAGCTTTGCTAATATGAACATAATGGGGTGGATTAAGCACACCAAATTCATATTTGGTAGCATATACAGCCCCTCTATGATAAGGATTTTGAATAACTTGCTAAGTCCCAACTCATGAACGCCAGAGAAGACTATATTATAAAGTTTTTTATCTTTTAGTCATTTCAATACACACCAAGTTCAGATTGCACGAGTTGTATTTCAGACTGTGATTCCTCATCATCAGTCGACATTCCATCATGATGACTGACATCACCCTTTTTCTCTCGCTCCCTTCGTCTTCGAGTACGACGACCTTCTCGCTCTGCTGCACGTCTTGTTCGATACTCATCACCAACACCTTTTCCTGCAATGTAAGATAGTTTATTTAGCTTAGAAATAGGGCAAGGTGACACCCAGTTAACTTGCTATGTTAGGTTTCCAAACAGACACCAGGATGAAGATATTATGGCACAGAATTACAACATGCATTACAACAAGAGTAAGCATTTAAAAGATGGATCAAGTTAAGTTTTCTTAAAGATAACAGTACTGAAATAATGTTGTATTAATGATAAAAACACCCAAAATGTTTACAATATATATGCAGAAATTATAATGTTTAGAATGAAATTTACACGAATTACTTTGTTGTGTAAGTCATCTGAGATTAGTAGGTACAGATGAAATAACGAGACTAACCAGCAAAGGGTGAAAACTCGTCATTCTGATCTCTGACATCCTGCCGTCGGCGTTGCACAACCTTCTGCGCTCGTTGGCGGTAGAGAATGTACACCTGATCCTCTAAAGCACCAATCTCAGGGACCTGCCGACAGAATATCTTTGTTATTCAGCTTCTTTTAGGGAATTATTATTTGAGTAAATACAACTGTTTTTATGAATGTAATTTCTTAGTTATAAGAAATTGTGCATTTGGCCTCAAGATATATTGTATATGAAAATAAAAGACACATTGAATTTATCATCTTCAATAAGGGATGCCAAAAATAAAATGACAACTAAGTGCTACAGATTCAAAAACTTTCATCCATACTAATATCTTCACCTTCACGATGACCTAATTTCCATGGACTACATAAATCTATATAACGTTATATATTTTTTCTTTATTTATATTTTTTATATATTTTTTTATTGTTAGCTCATTTATTTTTTTAACAAAACAAATATACTATACATAAATATTTCATATAACATTCACCCTAACCAATAAATTCAATTAAGTACAAAAGTATTCACCAACACTACAGTAACAGCTAAGTAACTGCTCTTCATGCAAAATCAACATTCATTTAAACTTATAATCAATTTAGAAACAGTGCATAATTAACTGGCTTTATCAGATTAAAGATTTCCACACATTCACAATAAACATTAAGTGGACTAATAAAACTTGTTTCCATTTAGGATTTTCCTTTCAAATAAACATTGATCATACTGCAAAAGATATATAAAAGATCTTCAAGGAAAACTAAATTATGATTATACCTTACCTGATCATCAGCAATATTTCTTCCTTGAAAATTCTACTATGGTATTATGAATCAAAAACCAAACATCTGTGATCTATTACATGACCCATATAAACAAAATGCTCTGCCTACATACAGTCAACATAGAGAAAGGAATTACCAATCTCCTATCATTGCATATTTAATTATGTATTTATATATATATAGGGTTTTTGGCCCAATATATTTTTATAAGCGAGGTATGTCGGTGGGGTTGACTGGGAAGAGTGGTGAGGAAGGGAGAGAATTGGCTGTAACATCCACCCACATTCCCGCATTCATAGCTGCTCTATTAAATATTTCCATATAATATATCCAGCCACACTATCTTGTTATAAATAAAGTTGTGGATATTTAGATGCCAATTGGTCCAGATAATCGGAGCAAAACCTATTCACCGACTATATGCAGTATTTATTATTCTTTTGCCATTTTAAGTCAATATTAGCTTAGGTGAACAAGTTATCAAAACACAAACAACAGATCAGCATGAAAAATGTGCACTTGAAGCAAGAAAGGGACAGGCATAGGCTCCTTCACAGGACAGAATCCAAGAAATGGCTAAAGCTTGGCTGAAAAGCTACTGTTTGCATAACCAGGAGGAACCGGAAGGACCCTGTCAAAGTGTGCTAGCTGCGTGAATGACTGGGATAGCTGCCTGGGACCATTGAGTCATAGAAGCTGCCATCTAGTAATTACCAAGTTTAATTAGAGATGAGGAAATGGTGCTAATTAGAGATGAGGAAATGGTGCTAATTAGTGCTTGGATCTAGATAAAGAGTGTGTACATACTTTGAATTAGGGTGGGATATGTAGTCCAACCAGTTGCATGTTTTGGAGCATTCAACTTTCCTGGTGGGTTTTCCTCTGATATGGTGATCTTGTATTCCCACTCCCCTATGCCTCTATTGAGGGAACCAGAATCTGGTCCTGGTCTCCAGTATACACTCGTGATTTGTTTCAGCCTGCTGTGGAACAGGGGCTTTGAGTACTCCAGGTGGATAGCTTGGGAAGATATATAGGGAATGCCCTCCCAGAAACTTTGCACGCAAAGATTGGCATAGAGTTTCAAACCTTCAAGATACCTCACACTGCTGATCTATTAGGAGAGATGATTGAATTCGGAGGTCGAGCACAAAGCCTATAAACCACAGCAAAGCCAGCCACAAGGGAGCCAAAAGATCAACCCTGCTTGCATGTCTTTAGCTTGGCCAACACTGGACAAAAATGCTGGATCAGAGGGAGGTACAAAAAGTACCATTCACTCTTGTCCAGGCAAAATGTGTTCATTGCAAACACGCTCACAGTTCAGAAATGGAGCAACAAGGACAGGAAGTTTCAGATTCTATACTGAGGAGAACAGGTCCACTTACAGACAGCCAAACATTTTTCGCAGCCAAAGGAAGGACTTTTGTTCACCAACCACTTCACTGATATTTGACAGAAGTAGGAGACAGTTGTGAGCACATCTGACATGCTACGAACTGCTCTGAGGGCTATAACTCAAGAAGCCAGAAGTTGAGCTACCCACTGAGTCCAGCCCCATAGAGAAAGAGCAGACTGAACCCTACAGGTTGAGAAAATGAACAACCAAAATGCACAAACTCTAAAAACCAGAGGAGAAAATAATGAATTAAAATCTTTTGCAAGTCGGCTGGAGTCTGCACCAGATAATCCTGGCCGCAGTGAAATGACACCCACTAAAAAAACGGCTACATCGACTTGAGTCAGACTCAGCCCAGAGGATACATCACACAGGCTAAGTTCAGGCCACCCAACAGACACTTGATAGACAAACACACTGCAACACCAAATAGAGATGAATACCCAACCACAAAAGGGCTGACCAACGCAGAGTGGGCAGCAGTTCTGGAATCCTAGACCAAGATCATCCAAGTTAACCCGAGAAGAAACTAGGAAGGATTTTCCAGTTTATGAGGAACTCAAACCGTGATAACGGGTTAAGAATCCAATACCTGGCAGGCAGACTAAGTGACATTAAATTCACAAACCAGCCAGTCATCAAGGTAGACTAGGACCTGGATCCCTGTCAGATGAAGATGACACAGGATCAGTGAATCAACCTGCTGAATGTTTTGTTGCCAGGTTCACCAATATAAAGCCATTCAAGCATGAACTCGTAGCCAATCACTGAAACTAGATAGATAAGGACAAACCAGTACACATCACGAATATCCAAGAATCACTCAAAAGCACCTGACTAATTTGTGACACTTGTTACCCAAAACACTGGGTAAAGGATGTACATACAGTACATGATGAGATGACAGATTTGCTAAATAAAGTGAGGCTCTGAAGAACAGATACCTTAGCAGGACCCCAAGCCACTGACAGGGAGGGAGGTAACCATTCTCACTGAAGGCCCAGAGACAATCCAGTAAGCCCAATCATCATGGTTCCAGGTATGCCGAAAGACACTCGGCTGTTTCCCCACCACACTGCACCAGGGTGTACCACAAAAAGACTGGTGGGAAGAATCATGCCACAATCAGGATATGACAAATACCTCGGCTGCCCCTAGTAGGCCATATATTTAAGTTCGGTTTTTGGCTTTATTTATTTGGACTCTTATAAAGTGAAAAGTACCAAATTCTACTATCTAATTGTTCATTATATCTATGTATGTATGTATGAAGGTTTACACAGTTACAAAGACTACTATCAAAACAGGACGATGGGTTGTAATACTGTACATAAGGACAATATCTAAGTCAACTATCCATATACAATACATTTTTCACCTTGCACAAACAAGTTGTATTTACTCAAAAACGACTATGGTCTGATGAAAAGATACTTTCACGAATGCTATTTTATGCGAGAGAAAATACAAACAACATTATCACATCCATCCAAAAACAGAGTATAAATGAAAAAAAGCATCACTAAGGATACGAATAGCAAATAAAAACCTTAAAGGATTGAATGGGAATAATATGAACATGGGGAAAGTAAAACCAAAAACTATTTGACAGTACATTATATAAATGGCACAAAATTTGTATTTATATACTGTAAATAACTTAAAAAGGATAGTTTACTGATGTTTCATATATAAAATAAAAATAATAATAATTCGGATTTAATCCAGTCTTGAATTCCAGCCCTCAGGTGGAAGGTACATAACTGCAGTTAATCAGAAGATGGTCTTTATTGATTACAAATTGTATATACAGTACTGTATTTACTAAGCCTGGAACTATACTGGAAAAAGCCTAGACTAAGCTAACCACACAGCTGAGGGTTACTACCTTGCCAAGTTAACTACTCTCAACTAAGGATCTCCAACTTACTAAACTTACTAAACTATTACTACCACCTTACTAAACTAACCATTCTCAGCCGAGTGTTACCACCTTACTAAACTAACCATTCTTACCCGATGGTTACCACCTTACTAAACTAACCACTTTCACCCGAGGGTTACCACCTTACTAAACTAACCATTCTTACCCGATGGTTACCACCTTACTAAACTAACCATTCTTAGCCAATGGTTACCACCTTACTAAACTAACCATTCTCAGCCGGGGGTTACCACCTTACCAAACTAACCATTCTTACCCGATGGTTACCACCTTACTAAACTAACCATTCTCAGCCGAGGGTTACCACCTTACTAAACTAACCACTATCGGCCAAGAGTTACCACCTCACCAAACTAACCACCCTCAGCTGAGGGTTACCACCTTACTAAACTAACCATTCTCAGCCGAGGGTTACCACCTTACTAAACTAACCACTATCGGCCAAGAGTTACCACCTCACCAAACTAACCACCCTCAGCCGAGGGTTAACACCTTACAACAACAATGGGAAGCAGCAGCATCAAGGTTATTAATTTATTTCTTCCTCAATGAACTTCAGCAACCTTAATGGATAATGTATTATTTAATAAACACCACCCACAAAAACAATCTGAACTGAAATTCATTAACATTTCAATTAAATGCTAAAAAAAAATTTAAATACAGTATCGATGATGTTTTTCTATGGCTTATGAAAAATAACACACTCCCTGCTAAAGTTATCTGTCTTGAGAATATCAAAACTCAAAATTCTACCAGAAAAGTAGATTGAATAAAGGTTGTTTCACCCTAGTCCCTAAATAATACATATTTACCAGTTATCATTCACGAAACAGGAGTACAGGGACGTTCTTCCCCTAAGGTACATATGTACAATGTAACAGCTTTTTACATTCACTATTAGAAGACTTACAGTATACGGTAATTCTATGTTTTGTACATATGGTCATAGAACGTCTGGTAAGTAATCTTACCTCAGGTATTTATCCAATAAGAAGTTGCAAGTACAGTATTATAAAAAGGAAAGTACTGTGATATAAATATTTTTACTAATTACTATGTTGATAGCTCATATTTTTTCATTTAACATTATGAACTACAATTAACTCACTAAGCTAATCTCCACACAATGCAAACTCAGCCTAAGTCACTGCAAAGGTATATAGAATCCTTCCTTGTAAGGAAACACCAAGAAGTCAGTAAACTTTAATAAAAGATGATGTATTATCTGTAAGTTTTTGCAAATTTAATAAAGCTCTTACAGGTGATGAATCATCTGTTGTTAACACACGGTGTAAAAGTCTGCACCTTGTGTAGAGCCGGTCGGCTGAGCGGACAGCATGCTGGACTTGTGATCCTGTGGTCCCGGGTTCGATCCCGGGCGCCGTCGAGAAACAATGGGCAGAGTTTCTTTCACCCTACGCCCCTGTTACCTAGCAGCAAAATAGGTACCTGGGTGTTAGTCAGCTGTCACAGGCTGCTTCCTGGGGGTGGAGGCCTGGTCAAGGACCGGGCCGCGGGGACACTAAAGCCCCAAAATCATCTCAAGATAACCTCAAGAAGAGTGTGTTTTTCTACATCATTGCCAGCATTTTGTGCTCTTTGCTATCAATAATCACTATTCAGAATTCCAGAATTCCCTCCTTATGTCAGTCATAACAGATGAGAAGAAATAGAGTGATCAAGTATTTACATTTACTGTCAATTATCTCAATGCATTCCAGGAAAGATAAATATTTTTACAAATACTTTTGTTCAATTTACTCTAAAAGTTAATTTTATTGTTTAGCACCTACCTTGTTCTGAAGAGGATATGCACACACATTTCCTATATCTTGTCCATATTAAAGATTATTCCAAATTTACTTAGCAATATAAAGTCTGCTTAATATTTACCTTATTTGAAGCAATATTAACACAGGACAAAACTCAATGAAGAACTGCTAATACAATACAGTAGATTAAAGATAAAAACATACTGTACCTAAAGATGTTTCCTGTTTACCTTCTTAAGAGCTTATGCCTGAAAGTAGATACTTCTTAATTTCCCTTTTGTATACTTACAATCAATCATGACTATATAATCAGCTGAAGCTGGTGTAATACTTACCCATTCATTTAATGCTGTGCATGGACTGCAACATGTGCATGAATCAGTGCAGAATGTAATTTAAAAAAAATGTAAACAGTTTGGCAGATTCTAAATAAGGCCATCAGAAGCACTGGAAGTTTTCCATCGACCACGGTAGCCACAAATATTGATAAGAATTTTGGAACTATCGCACATAAATCTTCTTTTCCCATTTCTTGGAACGTTGGACTGTATTGAAAACAATCCAATTACCCTTACCCACCTCCTATCATTAATATTTCCACTTCCATAGAATAAGACTGCAAGGTTGCATGTGAACCCACCTTTTCATTCAGACAGTCTCTTAAGTCAGTGACATACCCACGGATATCTTGATAAAACTGGAAGATGCTGGTCAATGGATGCTGTTCCAAGCTGCACCGGGATATGGTTGACTTGCATGCCACCAAATCATCTATTATAGCATCTGCCTCAGTCTGGTGCCGCCGGTATACCTCCTCCATGCTGACACGACTGTGTGGGGCGAGACAAAAGGGAAGACACGAGACGTAAAATTTGTATTAAAATCTGCTTTTGCCACCTGAAAAGTTAATCATTCTAACGAGCCCAGACACCGGAAAACAAGGGGAACGTAAATGACTGGCAATATAAAACTAATGAACAAATTCTTGTGATAGAAGAGGCAACAAAACCTTTAGCTTATACCATAATGTTTCAGCAGTAATTATAAGTAAATTACAGGCAATTAATAAGACTTGTAATGATTCCTGGTGACTTAGCTAGCACTCATATTATGCACCAATACCTCCATTTTCTACCAACTTGACTATTTTGCAGTGCTCTCTTTGATAATTCATGCTCTATTATTTTACTATTAAGTAAATTTAAAAAGTTTATTAACAATGATTTGATTCACAAAGCTTCTATGTATGGCACAGGAATTCTCCAAATTTGGCTCTGCATTCAGCATTACCACTTTTTTTCCAAACGTAACTAACTGTGGTTCACTCACATGTGGGTGATTAAGAAAGGAATCCATGGCCTCCTGAGCCAGGATATCTCATATTTAAATAATAATATGGCAAATTCTAGAAACAAATACAAAGTATAAAAAGAAAAATCTTAAAACTACTGCAAAAATTATAAAGACTGAAAATTTACTCAAATATGTGGCATTATCATACAACACTTAAGTCAAAGAAATGGGACAGCAATGAGCCATTTGCATGAAAAACAAATACAACTCATTATATTACTGGTTCTAACCAAAGACAAAATATACAGAATACAGTACAAAATTATAAACAATTTGGCAATGTGCAGATATTTGCTCTTGCATTCCCAAAGTGGTTGCAAGGACAATAAAATAACTCCCCTGGCCTAGGGAAGGATAAGTGGTGCCAAATGGAAACGGTTCACGTTAACGAAAGATCTCATTGCATAGGTAGACAAAATTTGTATGATTTATACTATCTTCTTAAAGCACTTAATAAATGAATGTGAGTGACAATATGGATGCAGGATATAGTGCAACCTCAATTCAGCTAACTACACAAAACCAATGCCAATTCGTTGCAATGGGAGACACTTTCAAGAGGTATCTCTTGAATATGCTGGGCAGCAAAAACATGCTGCGATATGTTTTTATTAAAGAAAAAAATTCATTGCTATGACTGTTTCTCCAAATATTTTATTTATCTACACAAATAATTCAAAACACGATTGGAGCCACATTTTATGAGTTACCATTCATACCCTAATTTTTCACCCATGCTGTACAAGCTGTTTTCACAATTTTTTTTTATTAAGTTTGAACCTATCATATGATGGACAACCATCAAGAGTACCTGTCTGCAAAGAGATTTCATCACATCACATCTAGCTTATATCCCATGCCCCAGCCTCGAAGCCACATATTCCAAGGTAACAATGAAATCTTGTCAAACTCAAAATGAAAATGAATTTTTTCTTTAAATAGGCATTGGTTATCGCAAGGCACCAATTCTCTCTCTCTTGGTGTTGCATCCATCTGCAAAAATCATTACAAATGTGACTGGAGCCATATTAACCCTTCAACTGCACATATCAACCAGGGTTGTTTCATCGGTGGTGTACACATCAACGAGGGTCATTTTCAGGTCTAATGTAAAATTTAAATCTCCCGCATGGAAAATGGGGCACCCAAACAATGCCTCAGGACTCTAGTAAACAGCTGCCATCTTGAAAAAAAAAAAGGTGCACTCCTATATGTTGATGGGTAGACCTCAGTTTGCGTACAAATACCATGAGCAATGCATGTGCCTCCCGCTCACAGCAACATGTGGCTCGCACCACAGTATCCCTATCAGATGAGGAAATTCCCAAGGAACTGATAGAATGTGATATTGATAGTGATGTAGATGACCCTGATAGTGATAAAAGACTATACACAGCAATCAGATAATGTACAAGTGATACAGATAGTGAAATTGATGAACCAGTGAGCATCTCAAAAGTGAGGCTTACACCAACACTGCCATAGCTCTGGTTTATTCCACTGCTGCTGCAGCATCCCATTACAGCAGCTATCCACATGCTGTTCCTTTACCACATGGACACAGTGACGATGACTCATTTTTTGGGAGTTAGTGACCAGGATTCTGATAATAGAAGCAGTGCTGTGGCTAGTGGCAGCAGTTTTCATAGTGTTACTAGGCAGAAGTCTGCTGCATCAACACCCCACCCTGAAAATTATGCCATGCTAGGTCGTATGGGGAAAACTGAGGGAAAGATTGGCCTCAAGTTCAGCTGTATGTGTCCACTCTGTGCATATTAGAAGAGCTTCATCTCCCAGCCAGTGTAGTTTTGTAGGAGGTTGGATTCATCCCCCGTGGAGGTAGAGGTGGTGTCTCAAGCAACACAGGTATACTCCTGTGGGATGATGGTGCTCACTTTGTTCTACAAATACCTATATTTGATGATACAGATGTAGGTGTTACTGACATTTTCCCTTATACTGGTGAAGATGTGTGTGAAAGCGACTATTTTACAGCATATTTTGATGAGCCACTCATGAAATGTATTATTCAGGAAATGAATAAATGTGTGTGGCAAATCTTACTGAAAATGAAGGCATATCACCTTATTCATATTTACAGCATTGGAAAGACAACTGTAGCTGAAATGTATAATTTTCTTGCCATATGTATGACAAAACATTGTGAAACACATCATACAAGAATACTGGAACAAAGACAGCCCTGTTCTGAACCCAAAGATTCAAAGGATATAAAAAGAACAATCTATGGGAGAATTTCACTGAGCAAAATTTCAATTTCAACTGATCATATGATCTCCAACTACCAGGAGAACCTGACTACAAAGGGATTTAATTCTAAATAAATACTGATATACTGTACTATTTAGAAGTACAGTACAGTAATATACATTATACTATATTTTGTGGCTTAATTTTACTCATTTTCCTTATGTTTTCAACAAGAATTAGTTACATAAACAAAGGAACCTCGGGGGACGAGTGGCTCCATCTATGAGCATTTCAGGTAACGAGTGAGCCACTCACAGAAAATTGATCTCGATTGACGAGCTTCCGCTCGGTTAATGAGAAAACCATGTGGTGCTTCCTAGCATTCCCGCTAGTTCTCGCAAATTCTCGGACGCCTCCAACGATGCAAATTAATGAATCTTTTTTAAAAGGTGCTAATGATGCTGGGATGTAAAAGGGTGACTGTTGTAATGTTGCAAAGCATTGATTTATTAGAAAAAAAAAATTGGAAAAAGAAAAAATGTCAAAAGGTTTGTTCAGTGTATGTCAGGTAGGCTGCTCCATTTTCTATGAAAGACATTCGTTTCGCAAGACAAGCGTTTCAGATGACGAGCTTGGTGCCGGAACAGATTAAATTCATTAACCGAGGCTCCTCTGTATTCCAATTCCCATTATTTATGATGTTTATTAATTATTCCATCATTATCATTACCCTATTTTCCACTCACCCTGAGGTGGGAAAGCACCCATCCAGAAAGGATGAAAAATTATTGAAGGAAATGTGAGTTCAAGATGTTCAATAACATCAATTCGTTGATAAAACCTTCCACATAGGCACTGCAAAAATCATAGGAAACCATAACCCAGACTGTAGTAAAATATCCACAGTAGTATCACATGGATTCCATAAACTATGGATGCAGTGTTCCACATAAGTTTATCAAGAATAATGTCACTCATTGTTAATTATTTTAAATTAAAAATAAATAAAACAATGGCCATTCCACAGAATCCACATCACAAGAATTACAAAACTATTCAGTAACTAACCAGAAAAATTTGTAAACTGTACAAAACATGATGAACTAACTGTTGAATCAATGTCCCCCCATTATGCTTGCCATGTTGCTTGGCCAAGATAATCATAGGAACTGTAAATCCATTTAAAAGGAACTGCAATATATATCTCAATAAAAAGGCTCCAAGAGTAGTCCACTACTAATATACACATTAAAAAACTGAGCAACTATATTCCCTCTTACCTGCACGACTAGTACCTTTATCAAATATTTACTTATGCTCTACTTTTCTACTGACATCCTACAAGCATTGCTTAAAATGCCTAAACTTGATAAAAAATATATATTAACCAAGATGATGATGAAGAATCACCACCACCATGCAGCAGAATGCACAACCAAAAAGGAGAGCAAAATGGCAACAACTGTCTGTCAGTCAGAAGGAAGCTAGAATCTCATAATATAGTTACTGTATGAGGCCGACCCATATAAAAAAAAATGTTGAATATAATGAAACGTCTCTTCCTGGTTGGGCTTTAGTGGCTCCCTATAGCTAGCTCACTAAGATAGCTCCACATGAGTCACATGAGCCCTAGGAGTTCGTTCACATTGCCTACTGGAGACCAGAGCCAAAACCAGCTCCCCCCCCTCTTCACAGAGGCACAGGCAGCATGGGATTGTTATGATCACCCTCACCAAGCAAACATACAGAAGGAAAGTGAAGCAAAACAGATAACTGCAAGGTTCGCACAGATAAGAAACGAAGGTGCAAACAATTCTACAAATGATCCACCCAGCAGTTATTTAGAACCCACTAGCTAAAGCCCAGGTTCCCATCCAGTGGGACATGACCCCTTTTGGGGGTCAAAATGTCTTCTGGAGGGGGTGGGTCAAAAGACTTAAATTCTGAGTATGTCTGAATCATTAAGGAATTAGCAAGTGGCGAGTATCCTGATTAGGCAATGTTTAAAAATGTTCACGACCGTAAAAATCTGAAATTTTATACTGGTATGCATAGATCTTGCTCTTACACAACACCCTCACCAAAAGTTGAGTAAACTGGGGCCGGTCCAACACCAGATGGAGACGACACTGTAAGTGAAGCAGAGCCACAGAGGGCAAGAAAAGGAAAGTCGACCGAGATTACCAAACTAGGCCTAACTAAGTTCGAACCAGGATGGAATCAACTGTGACTTCCACCAGTTCACCAGGAACCGAAACCTGAAATGCTGGGAAAGAACCAGATCCCTGGCTTAGAGACATGTGGATTGGCTGAGAGTTCAAACCAGCCAGTCATCGACATCGGCCAAGACCATCCTAAAAAGGAGTTGCCAAAAATGAATTACCTCTGCTAACCTGTAAGTCTCAGAAGCCACACGAGAGCCAAAATGAAGAACCTTGAAACAGGGCCAGATTAAGGCATGAGCTTTAGGGGGCTTGCACCCTCAGGAAAATTAGGCTAAGCAAATGTTTGAATTTATTATTAGTCTTGTTAGGATTAATTAAATTTTTAAATTTGCTTTTGTTTTGAAAATATTACTGGGGACATCACAGTACCTGTAGCTCAGGGGTCTACAAAATCTTAATTTAGCACTGTGAAGCAAGACAGGCCTTAATTGGGTCCTTATGCCCAAAAAGAAATCCTAACTAATTCTTGAACCTCAAATGAATTGTGATGCACCAGCATGCATCCATCAGGGCCACAAACACCATCCAGGAATCCCCATACCAAGCAGACCTGAGCAAATGCAGTCATGTGAATGGTCAGACAAGGAAAGAATCTGTTCAGACCCGAGAGGACAAGAATGTACCATAGGACTGCCAAGTCCCACTTGGGAACTGTGAACAACTGGAACACCCACCAGAGAAATGGTGAACTTTACCACATCCTAGGTATGGGGGAGTAGGGGTGTACAAGGGGTCCATACAACTATGCCAGACAGACAATGGAAGGAGGTGCAGTGGACATAGCACTCATAGAAACACCAGCTGCTCTAACTCTAAAACTCCAAAGATCAAGGTGGGCCAAATCTAGGGCAACTACTTAAGCACCAAGCCACTAAAACATGCAAAGGAACCCAAAACGGTCACCCTCAATGGAGCCTGGCCACGGCAAAATAAAATTAACCAAAACCAAAAGACAGAGGCTTGAATTAAAATATCGGACCAGAGAATCAAAATGGCACAGGCCTCTGGGAAGAGAGTAATACCCACACAAGAGGCAACAGAGAATAACATTACAATTGACCATCACTATATAGCAATGATGGCCATCCCTCTAACTTGCGAGTAAGGGCTCAGCAGGCTGATCTATAGTAAATCACATCAAAGACCAACTGGGCTTTTCAGGGTCTGAAAGGAGGACCAAACAGGACACCCAGGCATTAGGGATGTTTGCCAGAGGAAATGAAGCTGAATGTAGACTTTTGGGGTAAATGTAGCTGCAAAGGGCATCAGCAGCGTGCTGTATGTACAAGCACATAAACCCTAGTGCACACTTTAATCACAAACCCCTGAATCTCAGAGCCTTGCAGAGGAGTCAATAACCCATGCACCACAAAGGGAGAGGGACCCTATGCAGTAGGCAGTTCTCAAGAGACAAACTTTTGAACCAGAGACGTCACTGACAGAACAGTGGCAAACGAGCACCAAGGGAAGGGCAGCCCTAAATACATGAAGCCCGAGGTAAAAACTGACCAACGTTTACACAACAAGTAGAGCTCGTACACACATGCAAAAAGAAGTATAACTAAATCTTAAAAGTGATACACAAGCCCCCACAGGACAACATTCAAAGGATGGTCCACATTTATCTTGAATTTGGGCTCCACAAGCTAGTAACTCCACGCAGGTGGACATCATCGATACGACTCGAGTTCTGTTGACATGAGGAGCCAGAGTTCCAGGTGGTGCTGCCACCTGGTGGTGGCTAGCTGTAATTAGTGGGTTTTACCTTACTGCTGGGTGTATCATTTATAGTCAATTGCCACTTCATTTCTTCTCTTCTGTGAACCTTGCAGTTGACCATTTTGCTTTGCTTACTTTCAGGAAGTTTCCATGATGAGGGTGCTCATAGCAATCACCTGTTCCCTGTGCCTCTGCGATAGGGCCAGGTTCTGGTTTTGGTCACCAGTTGGCAACAGACTCCTAGGGTTGATGCGACTCGCATGTGGAACTATCTCAATGAGCTGGCAACATGGAGCCACCGTTCAGTCCTTTTTTGCGCACTAGATCAATCCCATGAATGGAAGATGGGAAACAATGAATAAAGCAACATTTTTCACTTAGAGCATAAAGTTAATTCAGCCTAAAAATTACCATTTTGTACCTTACTAGAAAAGGCCTTTATAATGAAAATATTAACACTAAAATTAGTGATCTTACAGGCGCCATGTCATAACTAATTTAACCCCCTAAACAGGTTCACATCGAGATGAGCCTGCTTAAAAATATTTAACAAATCATATGGGAAAAAATTATGTATGGCAATTAGAGAACAGGAGATCACAGACAGAAATTGAGGCAGTGTAAGGGTTAAAAGATATAGAAGTTACCTATTGTCTATCGTAGAGCTTTAGAAGCATTTTACGATTCATTGGGCTCGTAGGAATTATGCACCAGAATATCCAATTTTAAAAATGTGCATACTACTTACACGCATCTAAGAAACTGGTCTACAAGAAGTTACATTAGAGAAAATATATAATATTTATAATACTTGTACTGTATTACCAGATATAAGATCCCTGAAATATGAAAAGGAAACGAATACTGAAATTCAATCGATGGAACAGCCACAGTATCCTGTACATCACTGGTAATATAAGTGGACGAGCCCTTCAATCTTGGAATGGCTCAACCTTAAAAAGGCAGGACGGCTGGGCCCGGTCTTGGGCTGCTGTTGTTGGGTGGTGGCTACCTGTCCTGGAGTCGTTTGATGATTCCTTCCGCCTGGTAGTTAGATGGGCGAGGTAGTGATGCTGCGGATGAAGGGATAAGTGTCTCAGTGCCCCACAGGCGCTGGTCTTGGGTCCCTTGAGCTGTTCCATTGTCAAGTACAGTGAACTGGATGGCGTTGGGGTCGCCAATCTCTAGGTTGAATTCCCCATCACAACCTACAACAACCTGTGAGGCCAAGCACACAATTCAATCATTTTAAGGCAGGGTAACATCTGTTGGTAAAAATATATGAAATATATAATATTTCTTCCAATATAAAGATTTCCAGAGGCATTAAATCGCCTTTCACAAGACAATAATAAATGCGTTAAATACCACGTAACCACAAAAACCATCTAAGCTCAAGTGGCTACATTCTTAATGAATATTAATAGAATTCTGACAAAAAACAAAATATATATCATATTTTCTTGAGAGGAATTTGAAAATATTTATTATTCAAATTCCTGAATATGAAAGGTTGCATTAGATTTTATTAGTCATTCATTCACATACCTTGGGATTTGCACCTGCCTTCAGTAACTGTTGTTTCTCCCACTCTCGTTCATGATCACTGTTGTCACTACCACCCTCCGCTGAACCAAAAATGACCATAAAAATATGTTAGGAAAACTGGAAAACAATGCATCCAGACATTTATATATAAGTAACTCAGATTTAAATAAAGAGCAGCCTGTCTTCAAAAAGGAGCTACCCTGGAGGTAATCACTTCAAAACCACTATGTAATTAATGCTATTATCTACTTTTTATCCATTATTAGGCTAGGTTACGATTTGTTAGTTGGTTGCGTTAATATGGTGTATTATTTTCAAACATGTGAAATATGAAATTTGAAACTCAAACTATTTAAGTGTCCCTTTAAACCAAATTCTTCAAACCATTTAAAAAAAAAACAAGTTAAGCATAGAAGTTTTAAATTTCAAACCAACAGTTTATAATACAATAAAGTTATAATTTAAGAATATTCTTTATTTAGCATAAAGATTTACTTGCCAGATTACCGGTACACTATTATTGGAAATGTAATATGCTTTCAGACCCTCAAAATATCTAGATAACTTTCCAGGTGGTTCAAGTGGGGGGGTGGGTGTCTTGTTCTAATCCCTTTACCCCTGATAATGGGTTCACAAAAAAGATTGTTTTTTAATTTAGTTATTGTACTAGATAATCACTTTGATAAAGAAGATATTCTATAACATACCATATGTTTAAAATTTAACTAAAACATTTGAGAGCTTATAAATAAAGCATTTGCTAGTCATTTATAAATACTGTATGCAGTCTGATCTCAAATTTGATCAACAGAGAAGGAAACACATATTGCTTGCACATAAAAATATAAATGTTTATATGTTTAAAGTTGCTTTAAATTTCATACCCTGTGCTGCCTCAAATGCTTCTTGCCGTTGCTGTCTATCTCGTGCCTGTTGGTTAACAGAAAAATCCATTCGAGACTCGCCATCATCATCACTGCGATCATTGTCATCATCACGTACCAAGCGACTTTTGGTTTCCTCAACTCTGTGCAGAACATGTAACTTGACATTAAAATTATGTTACGGAAAAATGTGGAAGGATGCTATGCTGTTCAACAATAATCAGGTTTCACTTAACCCCCCCCCCCACATTTCTATATACTGTACATTTATCAGGTGGATGAGAGCGCTGAACCCAAATGTAAAAATCATATCATGCCATTTTTGTTTACATGTATTTGTTTTAGAATTCAAATAGTGTTCATGAAATCTAATAATAGGTATGGAAAGACTATTAACTTTTAAATTTTACATTTAGTAAAGAAAAAAATAGTCACAACATTTACACTGAAAATACAATTATGATAAACATTCCAAGAGTTTTTAAGCATGACACAAATGCACATGTCTTACCTGACAGTGTCATCTAAGGGAACCATGTCTCCTTGCTCCCTGGCTTGCTGTCTCTGCTTCCGGATGGCATGTATCATATTAGCATCAGGTATCTGGCCACCTATAGAAATCCAGCTATTAAAAGATCAAGTCGGACTCTCATACACGTACAGTACATACATACATACAATATCAATCTGCTCCTCTTGCAACACATGGCTCTATGGAAGAGTACAGGAAATAACTAACTATTGGTCAGCTTTAAATAAGATGGTTCTATGGTGGAAGAGATTGCAGTGGATCAGATATTTACTAAGGACAGCTTGTGCAGAAGGCATGAAAGCGAAACAATATGGTGTACATGACCTTTGTAGACTTTCAGAAAGAACATGACAAAATTATAAAGAAGGCCACTGGAGAACAATGAGCATGTATGGAGTTGGTCAAGTTTTGCTAATTGTGAAGTAGTAGTGCATATGTAAGAGTCAATGGTGCAATGAATGACTGGGTAATATGATGCTCTCTTTGTTGTTCAATATATATACCGTACCTGCTTGCAGTTTTTTTTAGCAGGGAATGAGAGACCTATTTAAATTAGTTGAAAGAGTTACTGAGCTGTGTGCTAAAAGTGAATATGGAAAATTTTGTTTAAAATGGTGGAGAGAGATGTGAACTGCGTCTGAAATTTGTGTTCACCTAGAGCCCTACAGCCATACCACCAAACTATTGTACCTGATTACACACAGAAATCACAATAGTGTGATGCATCAAATGAACAAATCGTTTATTGTATCAAATTGTTTATTGTACCTGATGCATTTTTCCTCCTCACGTTACAGTAATTTGTCATACTAGATCTTGACACTCTGAATAATATCGCTTCCACTATTGCTGGTCAAGTCCATCTCGGTAATCTACCACTGTCAATGTAAGAGAGTATTGTGGTTCCAATGAGCTGTTTAAAGTTGCCTGTATTTACTTTGTATATTTTTGTCAGTACAGTACTGTATCTTGTACCTTGTAATTGTACTGCCTCATCTTTTTCTCTTCTAATACAGTATAGTTAGAAAAAGCTCTCTCTTAGGTAAGAATACCCTGTCCAAACACAGTACTTTCTACAGATCCATAAAATTCTTGCCTTAGAGAGCAAGAAATATTACAGCAAAAATGTGCTTGTGTGTGCTTTTATTTTGAACTGACATTAGTAATAGTAGTAGATTTAGCAATTGTAGCAATTTCATGTTTCCTTATACAATAAACCTATGGTGTTTCCTAAGACTACAAAATTTCCCCCTTCAACAAAGTTGATTAATTACTAGGGAAGGTTTCTACAAATAAAAAGTCTTACTTTGAAGAATTTTTTTCCAAGGATCTAGAGAGTGAGATGTTCTTGTGCTTTTAGACCTGAACTTGTGTTTGCCCGGAGTATTAGGATCATCTTCATCCGAGTCCCCTGGCTTGGCACCAATGCTCTCTGCTTCTCGACCATTTACTATTCTTATTCCAAGCTCATCCTGAAATTGACTTCACATTATAATCTCAAAACTGGATGAGGATAAAATGATCATGATAATTATGAAAGAAACCACAACTCAAAATAATTGTTATGGTCAATTGGAAAAATATGTAAATCTTTGGAAATCTATGGATACTGTACCTAAAATTTTTAGTTGTGTGCCTAAAGTTATTAACAGACGAAAAAATGTTTTTATCAAACATTCAGCATCAATAACAGCATTCTCCACAGTGCTTTAATTTTATCCTAAAAAAACAAGATTTAATCAAGATTAATCAAATTAATCTATGTAATTTGTAGCTCAAGCTAGATTTCTTTTCTTGAAAGATGATGCCATTGTCAGCTGAAAGAAATTACACAAAGTGATAAATTTATACTCTATACTATATCTCCCAAATAAAAATGTTTATCTAGTAATTACAGGACGTAAACAAATTTATATAGAACTCCATGATTTTGCAACATGCCTCTTCCATGCATATCTGAAACTATTAAAAAAAGCTCCAGAACTGTTACCAAAAGAATATCTCATTACATGATGCAAAAATGTGCATGTGCCAACATACGATGCAATTTCACTCTAGTGTTGAGAAAGTGATCAGAAACAGTTATTTCCTAATAAAAAAAAAAACAATAAATATTAGTTCCAACAGCAGTCACTGCAGGTTTCCAGTGCCATTTAGTACAACCCATGTATATATAGTAGTTTTTGGTGACTGTGTGCACCATAGTACAAACATTGACGTGCCAAGCAATTAGATAGTAGAATTTGGTACTATGGTACTATAGTACCAAATTTGGTATTTGGTACTATATCACGGCTTGGTGCAGTGATACAGCACCAAGCACCGCGTGTTGCCACAAATATATTTTCAAATATTTTTTCTATGTATTTCCAATGCAGTTTTATTTGTTTCTTTTATCGTATATGATGCATATTTGTGACCTTTACAATATGTATACAGTAGAATGTTCATAATTTTCCATGGAACTGTGATACAAGTGTCAGTAATGTATCCACAATAAATGTTTATTGTCACAATATTACGTGGTAAAATTCACTAAAATTACAATATGTACAGTTTCACAAAATATTTACACAGTGACACACTGTATTACACACTCAGTACTTTAGAGGTGTGTAATAATCAACGAAGTAGTCCATGGTACACAGCACAACTTTGCTCTCGTTGCACCAGCTACAGATAGATTTTCGCTTCCTGTTTCATCGTTCTGTGTGCTTGCAAATAACACACTCACGTGCATCCTTGGCTATAGTACTTGTAGGTGGTATGTAGCCAAGCTTGTAAGGCATAAGGTAGTATTGAAACGATTATAGGAAAAGCTCAAATTGTAAGGTAGTCTTGAAAAGATCGCTTTGTAAGATCCCACACAGGAAGAGATTCAGCTAGCCTCAAAGAGTGTCCGTCAGTCAGGAAGAGATTCAGGTATTCTTGAAAATATCTATGGAAAACACCACCATGGAAGCCACTAACACTGTTCATCTATGCTACTTGTATCAGATGCATCATCAATGAACGCAGAAAACGATTCATCTATGTATCATCTATATAAATTGGAGATGTCAAGGGTGGGGCTCAGAGCTACAACTGGATACGCTCACTGTATCATGCTCATAGGTGCTGTATCACTTGCATCCGACAGTTGTGTTAAGTCCTTATTGCGCCTAGCTTTACCAATATTATGACCCTTATGTTCTTCAAACAATAAGGTCTGAATTTCACCGACTGAGCGCAATATGTTACAACATATTGCAACACACTTAAAACTTTCCAAACAGTTCAATACCAAATCAAAAACAATTTGGTTCAGTCACTGCTCAGATTGTCAGAGACAGTGACATCCATATTGCACTAAAAAATATGGGCCAACTCTTCTATCAGGAGACTGCAAATATAATCCAAACCTGAAAGTGCTAAGATCACTATCATCATAAGCCTTGTGTATAACTTATCTGAAGCATTCTTATTTAAGATTCATTGGGATACAGGCCACAATCATCTCATAAAATGTAAAATATAATTTATTCATTAAAACTACCACTATGGCGCTACAAAACTCCTAGCAAGGAAGTAGAATATAATTTGAAAGACTGTAAACCTAAATCTTGAACACCTTGGGTAGGTGGTTGTTACTCTTAAAGAAATAAGATACAATGATCCCCACTTTACAATTAAAAAATAAATAAATAAATAAATAAATAAATAAAATAAAAAATCCAAACTCCAAGGGCATTGGCATTGTCCACATTAAATTAAACTGGCAATTTACTGTTCCAAGTGCCTATTTTGTCTAAATTGTCTAGGATGGAAGTCATTTAGGTCTTACATTCTTCCCAGCAGTTTAGCATCAATGTGTATGGAGAGAAGGAAAAAATAAAGGAAAAAAAAAAAATTTACCAAACAATCAACATACTGTATATAAAAAAAATATAAGATCAGGAAATCACTTTAAAAAAATTAAGAAATTATGAGCATAAATATAAAAGATCAAGGAAAAGTAGATGGCATACAAAAGCAAATTGAGAAGTATGTTAAGATGTGCTGGCCATTTGTAACAAATACCACAGGAAATGAAGATCATGTACAACAGTGCTGAAGACATACACACAGATGTGGGGTAGAGCATGTAAATAAGATAAGTACACCAACTGCTGAAACAGAAGTAGTACATATTACATAATATACGGCCAGGAGAATGACTTTTGGCTCATATGGAATGGACGAGTGGTGATATAGGTCTCTCCTGGTGATGCAGAATAGAAAAAATTATGAACTATAGGAGCAAGGAAGAACTTCCTAATTTTGTTGTGTGGTATGTAAGTTAAAAATATACAAGATGAATGAGGGATAATATTCTGCTTGAGCCACTCCATTCTTTGTAGGAAATGCAGTACAGATAAGAAATCAAAACAAAAGCATGACAGAAAGAGAGCAATAGTTGCCAAATTGAAGATTTATGACAATCCATGATTATATTACACATTTAGAATAACATGAAAACCTACAAAAGAAAGACAATTTCCCTTTTGATGCATATAAACTTCTCAAAATAATACTCCCAAGATTGATGGCAATAGACATCAATTTAAATTATTGGTGTCATGAAGTATGACCTTGAATGGTCATACTTTAAACTGGGACAGTCACCCTACCAGCTCGGACACAGTTGGTCCCCCATTCTTGTCCTTGTCTCGAAATTTGTCCTTTCCTTCAGCTTGCCTTTGTTTCTCCTTTTCCTCCCTTCTCTTTTCCTTTTTCTCTTTCTTCATCTCTTTACGTAATTTGTAGCTCAAGCTAGATTTCTTTTCTTGAAAGATGATGCCATCATCAGCTGAAAGAAATTACACATAATGGTAAATTTATATACTATATCTCTCACATAAAAAATATTTATCTAGTAATTACAAGATGTAAACAAATTTTCTAGACCTATCATCTAACCACACATTAAAATTATACTACATCTTTTTCAAGATTAATAAATTCGTAACACTAGTTTTAATGAAAGGTAAAGTTAGTAAAATCAAGTTTGAGAAAAATACAGCCAAAATGCTACTACACAGGGAAGTAAAAGTACAGACCCATATGTACATATGGGTCTGTACTCTTCATGGTAGTACAGTCGGGTTCATTCTCAACACAATCAAGAATTCCGGATTCTAATCCCGGGTGAGACAGAAATGGTTGGGTACATTTCCTTTCACCTAATGCTCTGTTCACCTAGCAGTAAGTAGGTACTCATGGTACTGGGCAAGGTAAGTAATTTGACCTCTTGGGGACCTCTATTTAAGCCTAATGTATATAAATACACTCTAGCTTCCTATCCCTTGACACAATGAATTATTATTATTATATGCGAGTTGGTGGTGCAGTACGAACATGAAAAATCATGAATTATAGTATAAATAAACAATCTGTGAAACGTGTGGTATTAGAAGAGATAAAGTAAGGAATGTATGACTGGCTCCAGGCCAGGCTTGGGAAGTGGAACAACTCCATGAACCTACTCCAGGTATAGTGACATCACAAGCCTTGTGTACACCACTGTGGGGTGAGGTCTCAGTGACAAGATGCTCCAGTATTTATTTATTTATATATACTGTACAAGAGTTCTTTCTTGTACAACCACTAGCACGCATAATGTTTCGAGCAAGTCCTTAATCCTAATTTTCACACGTGCACATCCCCAGGAAGCAGCCCGTAATAGTTGTCTAACTCCCAGGTACCTATTTACTGCTAGGTGAACAAGCGCATCAGGGTGATAGAAACTCTGCCCATTTGTTTCTGCCTCTGCCGGGGATCGAGCCCAGACCCTTAGGACTGTGAACCCCCCCCCCCGAGCGCTGTTCACTCAGCCGTCAGGCCCCATATATGTATGTATGCAAGTATGCATGTATGCATACAGTACTTGGCCTAGTATGCAAGGTCTGATTTGCCTAACAGTGATTTTCATTATTTTCAAGTATTTCTTCCAAAATACTGTATGTTCCAATTAATATTATTACATTAAGGCATGAATTACTGACAATTATGTTAGGATGTTAGATTGGGATAGGTTAGGATTGGATAGGTTAGGTAAGGATAGGTTACAATAAAATAGGACAGAATTGATTAGGATAGGAAGGACAGGATAGGTTATGATAAGTGAGGATAGGTAGGTAAGGTTTGATCAAATTTCTACGGAAGTTTTATCTCAAATCAAAAAATCAAATCAAATGTAATGTAATGGAAAGCCTAATCATTCCATAAATATATGCGAGAAACCTTAACAAACTTGTCCGTAAACGAATTTGCTGGGCAATAAACTAACCCGTAAGGTCGTCTTCGAAACTTAAAATGGACTGCTTCTTGGGTTCCACCTTTTCCTTCTTCTTTTTCTCCTTTTTGATGGCAATGGCGAAGTTGGAGTTGCTATCATCATTGCTGGCGATAGCCATAGCATCACTCTCTGCCCCAGCTTCATCCTCACTCAACCTGCGTTGTCTAATATTAATGTTTTTTCGTTTCTTGAACATCCTGCCAGCGAGTTACTTCTGTCCGTAAAAACATAGTAACGCTTCACTAAACCTGCCTAAGTAATCCCAATAATATTTTGTAGGTTTCTGAAACCTTTTTATCCCTTCAGATTTTAGAAAATATATTTAATTAATCAGTACGTTACACTGTTTGTAAAATTTCTGTATAGTAAAGAATAAATATATAAATATTTATATTGAAAAGAAAAACGTTTTACATATGAATAGTAAGATGTAAACCTGCATAATTAACAAAATACGTTCGGTAATGTAAATGTAGCATATAATTTTATGTATATGCCTACAAATAAGAAATTATAATCAATAATTCTGCTATCTATGAATTTTATAAATAAGAAGCTAGTTTTGGTTTAGAATACCAAGTAATGGCAATACAACTTTTCTAATTTGGCTTTTTACTTTATATTATGTTAAATAACAACTTATATGATTTAAAAGTATATTTTTACATAGGAAATTAATTTGAATTAATTATATGAAAACGCGCATTACCATTGAAAACTTTTAAAAGATGTTTATCCTCATAAATGTAAACAACACGGAGTTGGTGGCAGCCACGATCAAAAATGCAGTGTTGACAGTGAAGATGGTCTTCAACAGCAGCTGTAACGAGCTACACCACACTCCAGACCATAAAAAGCTAATAATCAATGTTAATATTGTGTGGGAGTAAGTGGAAACATGAGCGACAGCGATGAGGAAGAGTGTGTGTTTTATGGGACCCCTCTGGAGGAGCTCGATGAAGGTAACCAGACAGGGGGAGGGTGCACTTTATTTATTTATTTATTTATTTATATATACAAGAAGGTACATTGGGATTGTGAGGATACATAGCATAGTAATTACATTCTTGTAAAGCCACTAGTACGGGCAGCGTTTCGGGCAGGTCCTTAATCTAAGAAACTTTTAAGTAGGTTCCACCTTTGGTTTTATTCTGGTTTTGGTTTCCACTTCTTTGTTTTATTCTGACTTTTGTTAGTAAACAGTATGTGTATTTGCATTTTTTTTTTTTTTAGTTTACATAAAGAGTAAATTAACAGGTTGGGTTGTGTGGCTAATGCTCGACAACATTGTGACATATTGTCTGCATTTAATTAACAGTTTATGTGCCACCCTCCCTCAACCTCTAAAAAAAAATTGATGTTAGTATGGTATATTCACAACCAATTTAGACACATTTTTTATTGGCCTTCCACACTATGTATCAAGCAGATATATTTTTGTTTTATTTTTGTGTAAGGTAAGATAATTATCAGGAGAAAACGCTAAGCCATTACTACTATACAGCACTTAGATGGGATAATGATTTAGAATACAGTAGAGGATAGGAATGGTGCCCTATTCTTGGATGGTTGGGAATTGAACACCAACCTTCAAGAAGCAAGACAGTTGCTCTGCACTACACTACACTGTAGTGTAGTGTTGCTCTATGATCCAGTCCTAGTGGTATTTTTGAGGGGTTTGCACTTATTTGGATAGGCTAGGCAAAATCATACTTAGAAATACAGAAAGGTAATTTACCTTATGTTGATTAAATTTGGTTAGATATAGCCAAGTTGCTATATAGTTTGGTTAGATATATACAGTTGCACATGCAACTACTACAGATAAAATTTGAAGAAATAGAGAATTTATAATATGAAAACAATAAGTAATTAATTCTATGCAAAACACTAAACCATTAATAGTATATACAGTAGAGGAATGGTTGACACCCTAATATGTTTCTTTTCCTTGTGGTGTATACTGTATACATAAATCTGCATCCAGTTTGACACAGGGGATCAATCAATCTAATGGTGACACCTTCCAAGTTGAAATACCAAATGAGATACTAATCTGTGGTGACATACATCCACAATTAATATTTAATAAAGTTCACAAAAAATATAAAATATTGTACAGCCTATGTGATAGACAGCATGGCCCTAATGACAATTTCATAAGAGTTGGTAAAAACCCAGGATTTTTTCTCAAAACCCAACTTTGCTTGAGTTTTTATCTATTTAATCAGTAGATGCAAAAAGACAAATTTAAAATTAAATTAAAGTTACTAAGTTAGCCCATATTACAGTAAAAAAAATTTTTTAAACCTGCCAAGGTTTTTTAAACTGAAAAACCTGACCATGTGAGTAAATGGGTAGCTATTACACCAGCCCTGTAATCTGATGATCTATCTTATATGTCGCACAGCCGTTTGTATAGCATTTTCACTACAACTCTTCACTAGAATATCTAGAATACTAAAATAACCTAAACCTGATTCATAGGTCACATCTATTATAAACTAGAAGTAACTACAAAATTAATTTTAGTGAATACAGTACAACTTTTTCTAAGAGTGGTATAATACTTGTAAATTTACAACTGGAATAATAGCAGTGATAACTCTACAGCCTGTATTTCTCATTCACATCACATTCCGAACCATAAACAATGTATCAACCCATGGTCATATGGGAAAGACAAATGAATGAAAATGTTCATTGCCGATATTTAAAAAGGATCCTACCTAAACCATTTTAATTCAGCAAATGGATAAACAGTGCTTGTTCTTTTTTTATTTATTATTTTCTTTTTCAGGTGAAGTACGCTCACGTAAGGCTCCACGGATTGAGGATCAGGTTGCTCGAGATAAACAGGGTCGTAGAAGGTTAGCTTTAAACTCTGATTTAACTTTGGAGTAAATTTTTGTGTGAAGTACGAAGTTTTGTGTACATATGTATGTACTGTATTTATATGTATGTATGTATATTATCGATTCTGAGTTTGATTATTTAAAAAAATATAATTGGATACTTATTTTTCTGAACATTTTTGTATTATAGTTTGGAAAAAATAATTATTTAAATTAAGTACTTGATTACTTATACAAAATATTCTATTCATATGTATTTTCTTTTATTTTAGATTTCATGGAGCCTTCACTGGTGGGTTTTCAGCAGGATACTTCAACTCCGTGGGAACAAAAGATGGATGGACACCATCTACATACGTGTCCACTACTGCCCAACGAGCAAAAAGCATGCAATTTCGGCCTCAGGATTTCATGGATGAGGAGGTTATATTTACTCTATATTATAAATAAATTTAGTTCAAAGAATTTAATGAATTTAAAATTCAAATAATTTTATTATAAATAAATTTATTTCATCATGTACAGTACTATACATGAACTGTATTTAGTCCTTAAAGTGTGGTTATCATGAAGTGTTGATTGTCTAGTGCATTGCAATTATCATTAAATTAAAATATACATCTTTTGTCAGTGTTTAAATATCTATGTTGTCCATATGATTTCAGCAGCTGAGTGGTGTCTCGTAGCAGTAATGCGAGGCCACAAAATAATTTGGAGATAGCCAGACTTCATCTTCTGGTCCCCCCTATCAACAATTTACAATGACCACACTTACCTGGCCAACATATAGGTCTTATCTGTATATGCAGTACTGTATTTATATTGGCACTTATTTTGCTTTTGTATACAGATTCCTTACTTTTGAATATATTTCATATAAGTAAAATAAAATAAATTGGGGGAAGGGTCCTGGCTCCCATCACAAATGTAATGCTGATTAATGCCAAAAGGAATGTTATCATAACCACCGCACCATGATCGTCTATGATAGACGATCATTGGTGCGGTGGTCACTGTACTGTGTAAGTTTAGGGGTGATCCTGGACGGCATGGGTTCGAATCCTGGCCGGGTTAGAGTTCTTAGTGATACTATATACTGTATTTAAAAAATAAAATGTGTGTGCATAATTTTTTTTTATGTTTCTGATTACAAATCTCCCATTTCATAAGGGAAAACAAGTCGGGGGGACAGTTTTGATTTCCATACTTTAGGGATTTGACTCCAAATTTAAATTTTTTTATCACAGGATTTGGAAGCACATGGCATATCACCTCAAGGAATCCAGGCCTCTGCCAACTATGATGACAATGAACAGAAGAAAAGGAAAAGAGTTTTAGATCCAGGTGGACCTATTCCAGGGACACCTGTTCTTGAAGATATTTTGAAACCAAGTAGGCAAGTGCTGCACTATTAATTCTGCACAGATAAATGAATCATAAGTTAGTACACATGATATTTGGGTTCAGGAGATAAATCTAATTTAGAGTAAGGTGTTTTGTGAAACTCGTGCAAGGCATTCAACACTAGTATTTTCCTGCACCTCTTTGTTTTTTTGTTAAGGTTTGGTACTGTTTGGTATCTATAGCCTTCACCGTAATTACCTAAGGGCAGTCGTAGGATGAGAACCACGCTCATTGTGTCCCGTCTTCCGGGTGCTTTGACTTTTGGAATGCCAAATCTTTGCTTGCCTTGTCTCTTAGTTGGTTGGGCCTTGGGCTTTGGCTCCATCTGCTAATTCAAGCTGAATCTCTCCATTATTTCTAGTGTGAATAGAAACTAGTATATGGAAGCAATGGAGTGACTGGTTCAGGAGAAAGCATTTCATTTACACTCAGCACCTTATTTAATTTTTTAAAAGAAGGTTATTTTTTAATTATTTGTTTATTTATATTTTTTTACAGTACAGTATATAATTCAATTAAATATGTATGTTGAATTTGATCTTAATATATAGAAAATTAAGAAAATGATTAAGAATGCATTTGTCACTAATTATTGAAGATACCTTAAGATTTGTTTGTAACTAGTTGTGGTGAAGATATACAGTAGTCTCTGCATGATGCACTTTAGTTATTTTCAGCATAATTACTATTCCTTTTATGAAAAAATTCAAATATTTTAAATTCCTATTACAAAATTTTAAAAACATAGAGGTTATTTTAACATTTATTTTGTTAACTTTTTAATTATTTTATTTAGGGAGACTATGGGAATGAAACTTTTGCGTCGTTTGGGATGGAGACCAGGACAGGGAGTTGGGCCTCGATTGAGTCGACACCAAAAAGTGTCTGAACGCAGAGAAAAACAGAGAATATTTGGCTGCCAGGGAATTCAGCATTCATTGAGAGGTAATGAGTCAGTTCAGTACATTTTAGTAGTACTGTACTGCAATTTGCAAAATTCTACTTTACTGTTAAGCAATGTTAATAAATTGGTATTGTTTCCTATATGTGGTATTAGGCATAGTAATACAGCATATTTTCATTTGTTCTAAAAATGTATGTTTTTGTTGAATATCTTTAGATTCAGACAGTGAGAGTGATGATGATGGACACATGCAGGATTTGACTTATGCTCCTGATGATATTGACACCCTTCACTTGACACAACCCAAGGTGGATCGCTTTGGTCTTGGATACAAGCCTTTGGATCGGACATCTGTTCTTGGCGGACACATCAACCTTTTTGACCCCTCTCCTCTGGTCATGACCGATAAAAAAAAGAAAGTTCTTATAAAGGGGCAGGTGAGTAATATTTTAATTAAACAATATCTCTAAATATGATAAGTAGGAATTCATGATTAAGTGAATTTTATTATTACAGTATTGTACCTGTATTGTATTTTGTTATACAATACAAAATAAGTTTTTGCCTGGGGAGTTTGATTCATACATGATATTAATAAGTATCTGTGTGCTTATGCTAATAACTTTCTAACCTCAAATGAAGTCTATTGAAATCATCGTGCCCTCCTCATTTCCCGCTGTCAAGTTTTGGAAGGCACTGTGCCAGATAACATGGAAGAGTAGTGTAGGGAAGGCAAGATCAGGATATGCAATAGCACCTGGATCTTACTTTAATAATACCTTTCGTGTTAATACCACTGCACACTTGTTAAATGTCAGCAATATCTTGGCTGTTCTTCTTGGCTAAGTCAATATCTTGACTTAGTGAAAAGTGTCTTGAAAATTAGTGTTAAATTTCCAGTCACTATAAATATCTTGTTTAAAGAAAGAAAAAGTCTCCCCAAATTCAAATATCTCAAGACAAAAGAATTTTTGAAAAGCTATGTCTTTTTATGAGGCAGACTTACAGTTCTTTATTCTTGTTAATGGTTGCTTGAGTGATCATGGTCTCATAAATTTTACTGTAAGGAAGATAATAAAAAACATATGATTTCATTGTTTACATATTACATTTAATTAGATCTTTTAAAACATGTTAAAGCAAAAGATTTAGCCAGAATTTTGAGAAGTTTCAAAGTGAACTTGACCAGGACATGAAGTTGCATCATTTGACATCTGGTCGGGTGTATGATTTTTGTGCAATCAGATTTTATTCTCCTATTTACATAACACAATTTCATGATTATAAATTGTCCCAATTCTAAATTGCAGGCAAAGCTTTGGACATACAGTACTGTATATCATGCAAAATAGCTTTAGTCTCAATTCTGAGACCTATCACTTTTTAAAATCTTGCATCATATTATATTCACATTCAAAATCGTTCTTTGATAGTAAAGATATACCTAATATATGCCAAAAACAGTGCCTGCACTAACAGGAAGGATCAGGTCATATTGAGAAGACCAAAACATACCTGCATGTTTTTGCTACCGTATTACAATATTTTGTGGTGGCAGACCTCACAAAAATAATTTTCATTATACAGTATTGTATATTGCAAGAATGTTTTGAACGATGAAGGCTCTTTCAGCCAGAATGTAGCGATATGATTAAGTTTACCTCGGTAATAATTTATAGATAGGATTAAGGTCACTTTAATGGAAAAAATACAGACAGGATAAAGGTTAATGCAGTAATTGAGTACAGATAGGATTAAGGTTATTTCAGTAATTACGTGAAGATAGGGTAAATGCTACATCAGTAAGAATGTACAGATAGGATAAATGCTACATCAGTAAAATGTGCACACCGGATAAAGACTACATCAGTAAGAAGGTATTGGATAAAGACTATTTCAGCAAATATTCATTAATAGTCACTAGTAGGAAGGAGACCAGAAATAAACCGTAGGAGAACACACAAAATATAGTAAATATTTCTATTGCTATGGAAGTGGTTAATGTTGAAACCTTCTCATTTTTGTGAAACAGCTGTGTTTATTTTGCTCTACCTTCCTTACATATATAGATGTAAATAACTGCTTTCTTTGTCAACTAAAGTCCATAACTATGAATATAAGTAAATTAGGTTAGCCAATTACCTGATAGGTCTTCTTAGAAAATTGAGTATTTGGATTGTTTTATGAATGTTGTATACAGTATCGTTTTAAGGATATTTGTGTTTCAAATAATACTTGCAATAAATAACACAGCACAGTTCCTTGAGGATAACCTTCCCTGCTCCTTTTCTTACTCTGACACTTTCTTATGTGTTATTACATTATTTTATTTAAAAACCTGCAACTTTAGTTGTCAAGGCAATTTAGTCTTGTCTATCTGTTATGTTATGAAAATTGGTAATATCTGAAAGCTCATTAATACAAAATTGAGACTTGGGTGTCCACAAATAATATTTCACACAAGTTTATTTTCAGGCCTTTGGTGTTGGTGCTTTTGAGGAGGAGGATGAGGATATTTATGCCACCGAAGATATGAGCAACTATGACTTTGGTGAGGAGAAGAAGGAGTCAGGTAGGAGAAGCGGGGTTAACAAGAATCAAACACCAATGGTGAGGATTTATCTGAATTCTTTTGAAAGGAAAAAGGAAAAATTTTACTTTTTAAATTCATCTATGATAAAACTAATGTCAATTGATATATTATCATAGTAGCCAACATGCTCATTTTCTTTAGTTCAAAATTTTGGATTACTCATGTGCAGGGCAAGATTCTGTGTAAATTATATTATTGATGAAGTAATGAAAAGCACAGAATAATTGATATATCATTGCTTGCATGTACTGTATATTTTTTTAAGCAGAATCTATCGTCCACCACATACACAATTATTTAATATATCTATCACTGGAGTAAAGGCAATGCAATAGTTACATAGTGAGGGGGACAAATATAGCTTGTACAGTACAGCTTCGATTCAACAAACTATATGGGACCAAGCTCAATTCGTTGCAGTGAGGGATTTGTTGCAACAAGAGATGCCTCCAGGATGCATTTCCAATGCCCTATGGGCTATTTTCACTCAGTGAAATTTTAATTTAAACCTATAATATAATAGACAACTACCAAATAAACATGTCTGCAAAAAACATTTAACCACATCTAGCAAATTTCTCATGTCTTCAGCCTCAAAACTCATTTTCATAAGGTAGCAAGGCCATATATATCTGAGTGAAGGAATACCTAGCCAACTCAAAATTAAAAACAATCCATAGAATTTGGTTTTAAATATCCTCAGTAGTTTTCCCAAGGCTCCAACTGTTTCTTGTAATGTTGAGTTCATCTACAAAAATCATCTAAAAAGTGATTGGAGCCATATTAAGAGTGTTACTGTTCATACCCCCCAATATTTAATGTGCTCTGTGGTCTGATTTTACTGAGCAAAATTATAATTTCAATCTCATATGAAGGGCCAAGAGAACCTCTCTGTAAAAAGATTTAATCACATCTAGCATATTTTCTATGCCCAGTCTTGAAATCTCATTTGCAAAGAGAAAAGGGCCCATACTTTACTGAACATGAACCTCTGCAACTGGAAATAAAAAAGAATCATAGACTTTGGTTTTAAATATGTTCAGTGGCTTTCCAAAGGCCCCAACTATTTCTTGTATTGTTGCTTCCATCTGTGAACTCGGACCCAACATCCTACGCAAATCGATACATTCCCTGCTTCAGCAAACTCTTATTTGTTGAATCAGGTGAGTAAATCTGGCACAGAGAGTGTGTGTTGGAACCGGAGATTTGTCAAATTGAGGTTTGTTGAATCGCAGTTCCACTGTACCTGATTAAGGTCAAAATTATTTCAAGTAAAAAATACCAATTATTTTATTTTATTTAATTCATTAATTTCTAGGCGTTGACAATTTACAGTACAGTACTGTGTTCCCTTTACAGATCAGTAGCACCATGTATTGTATTATAAAAAGTCAGTAACTACCTTATTCATGGTCTGACAAAATCATCTATCAAGCACTAGGAACACCACATACTGTATTTCAAATACTGGTAATTAATAGCTATGTACATTGATTATCAATCACAGATAGCAATGGATAGGACTGCTAACCTGTTTGGATTCTAAGTTGTCAATGGCTACACTGGTTAAAATAATAAGAACAGTAATTAGAAGCAACACAAATTTGCATTTGTGCTTACATTTCTGTCTCCAATATACTGAATTATATTTCTGAAATGTTGTGATGTCCATGTGATAAAATGTGTGTGTTTCTGCATGCACGTGCACACACCACCTTTGGCAAGATATTTGTGGCAGCGACAGATGGGTGCCAAGGTTAGAATGCTCCATAAGGCACTATGCAATGTGTTACCAAACTTCATAGTATTGTTTCATAATGCTAAACACCAGGGGTGCCAACTAATATCAAAAGACCAAAGACAAGCAGTCAAGTCTTCTCTTTTCCATGCCACCCAACTTAAGTAAAAGAAATGTCTGTTAGACAAAAATTAAAGGTCACTCATCTCTGTCAAAGCATGATTTGTCAAGTGAATTGTCTACATCCACATCCAAGGTGACATGAAAATTGAACATGTACAGTATATAGCTACCAAACACCTAATTTCTTTGTAGATATTCTAACCAGTACACAGCTGTGACTGAAATGGGAGGAGTTCCAGATCCAAGTCATATCTAAATACCACCACCTTTACTGTACCTCTGCATTAAATAGTCTGCAAAAGACCTGTTAACACACTTTTTCAAGGCACTGCTACCAAACTGAGTCTTGAGCATAGGAACCAAACATCCAAAACAGTGAAATCAGGTCAAACTTAACAAGAAATATAGTCCATACTTTCCGACTGACGTAAGATACAGTCAGGTAATGTGCGAGGTGGGTCAGGTCAAGGAAACTTGACGTGTGGTACTACCACCTGTTGATAGTTGGCATCAATGACCACGCATGCTACTATTAGTTAGCAAGAACCCCCTCACTTGCAGTTACCTGTGATGTCAATGAAGGATTCAAAAGGTCCTTAATTTTTTTACAAATGGACCATTGTAAAGTCATTCTAGGCTTGAGGGAATGGTCGTCATTGACTCCCTAGCACCTATAAAAAAAAACACTTGGAAAGTTTCCTCTGGCACCAGTGTCACTATTTAGTCCTGTCTGTTCACAAACTTGTCTTACAGCTGTAGCGATCTTTACTTGGGGAGAAGCCAAATGAGATAGTGCAAGAATTATAGTTTTTGTTGTTATATATTTAATAATATAGACCTTGCCATTTTTGTTCTCAGACTGTGCATGGTTTAATCGAGATAATTGAAGGGTTTACACTGAGCAGCAAACCACAACAGCAGCATAAGGTCTACCCAAGGCCTATATTACCCCGAGATTTTTTACCACTGCACCAACCACGTAGACGAAGGTACAAAAATTTAATTGAAATTTTATAATGGAGATACAAGTACAGTATGTTAAATTTTGTAAGGTACTGTACTCTGATTTCTAGAACTTTAATTATACTGTATATTAATTAGTTTTACAGTATGATAATTTATTGTTATATTTGTGTGCATGGTCCCTTGGCTAGTATTATTAATTTTATGTTTTGTATAAAGTTATAATTGTATTTAGTATAATTTTGAACTTCAGGTTTGAACGCAAGGAAAGTGAAATACGTGGATTGGGAAGACACGAGATGACAGCTGAGCAACGGTCTCTGAGTATTGCAGAGCTACCCAAAACTACGGTGGAGGTACAGTACTTCTCTTCCAGTGTGGCATAATTATTTTGTTGACACATCAACAGTTATACCTCTACATCTATTATATCTGCTTAGAAGATAACTCATTATCAAATCTAAAGCAGGGAAAGATCAAAGACATCAAATGCTCTATTTTTAGATGGAGGTTCTTCCTTTTTCTGTTCACTATTTGCCTTAAGTACTCTCATGTAGATAAGTTTAGTGGATAATACTGGTTTCAGCAGTCTACAGTTATTTGCATGTGTGTACAGTATCATCTCAAAACTCAAATTGACTTTCATTAATCACACGGTCTTGTATTGCAGATCACTTTTATTCAAATTTTTGTTTGTAATTTTATTATTCTACCCTTAAAGCCTTAAATAAAGCCATTACATAATGTTCAGATCTCACTCACATACTGTATATCAAAATATACTTAACTACTTTTACACTGGTACACAGGCTGAAAGTGTTTTCATTCACAACCATTGAGCACAATCTCTATATAGACCTTCCAACATTTTCAGGCCTCTTTAAGTTGGGAACTATTGCCATCGCTGCCATTGTTGACCTTGCGTCTTACACTGCCAACACATTCATTTTCATATCATTTAAACACTAAATTTTTACTGTGATAAGGGTCCTAAATTTCTTAAACATTCATACCTCATAGTGCCAGATGTCATGCAGTACATTTTAGGATGAAGAATGATGCTAATCTTTATTCTCTTCCTTCTGCAGCATTCCCTTGTTTATTTCCTCCTTAAAATGTTTATTTTATTCGAGTGTTGTACATTTCATGTACCTAATCTCAGTATCATCCCAAATACCATATATTATGCCACGTTCCTCCTCGTGTGTGTATGTACCATAACATTATTTTAAGTTCTGCATTCAGTTAACTGTAGGAATTATCTTTGTGCAGAAATTTTTATTTAATTGTTCCATTCCAGATGTCTAAATTAATGGTCATAATCATTACTGCCAGTCATTGGATGAATTGTAAGATTTGTGAGAGTGCAAATACATTGTAATTCAAGGAAATTGTTTAATGAAAGTAGTATATTATCAATATTTTTTCAATAAATATTCAGGGACCATTTACAAATTGAAATATACAAAATTATTTGTAATTCATATTTGAGAAGATTGATTATTCTTCTTTGAGTGAATTTGTTATATACTATATAGGTATATATGGTATATAACAATTGTGATTTTGTGTATTATGTAATGATGTGTGTGTGATATTAAGACATTTTACCAGGTCAGATCAGGAGTCAAAGGGAAAACTCTGCTTCCTCCAAAAGATCAGCCAGAATCCATTGACACATTAGAAGTTGAAAAGATTTATGATGAATTTAAAAATTCAGGATCGAAATTCAGTTCTGATTTCAAACCGTTTTCAAAGGATCCAGATAAGCAACGACGATATGACCTCTTTTTGCGAATGAAAGAAAGGGGCCAAAAAGGTTAGTTTCTATTATGTTTGCATGAGGAATATTGCATAATTATCTAGAGCTAAGTAGATAATCAATGAAAGGATGTCTTATAGGTAATAGATTAGCTGGTATTGATCACTCAAAGTAATAATGTTGTGGAGAATCTTCCCTATTGATTTTTTTTTTACAGTACATTGTGAAGACTGCCTGCCTCACCTGAGAAATGTGCAATATCTCAAAATGATGTTTGACTTGACAAGTGAAGTGACCCTAATTTTTAAGGGATCCAGAGAGTTTCATGTAGGATTGCTTGTGATCAAATCAAAATGTGAAAGAATTCTATGAGGATATGCAATTAGCTACCTACACACTCTCAAGTCATTTGAAAGTATTATGAGTGTGTGAGTTGGTCATGCTCACACAAACCTTTTATTCTAGTGTTTTTCAAACCTCTTTCAAGATCTAAACACTTTGAAAAGATATATGTTGAAGAGTGTTGGTTTTGTTTTCATATAATAAAGCAGTCACCTTCCTTGATAAACAATAAATATAAATAAGTTTAGGATTGCCTCAGTGAGCTTAAAAAGCCAGTCATTCATTGTCAATATCTGTTACCACTGACATAATGTGAGAATGCATCAGCCCAGAAAGAGAAGATGAATAATAATGTGAAAAGGTTAGTTTATCAAGATAATTTCAGCATTAGACAAGAGAGTGAGTTATAAATAAAATTCTTTGTTTATATCTTGGAAAAGTAGATGGCAGGGCTACAGCATATGCATTTACTTAAACCTTCTGTGTAATTCATATTGCATATGTGCATTGCAGTACTTAAAGATTCATATATTTATTCCAGCATGCATTAAGACTAAATGAATTTCATTGATTCCAGCATCACTCTCATATTAATAAAAGTCAATGTACCCTGTATTCAGATCGATTCCGCTTGGTGCAGCCCAAGAGTATGACTGAGTGGCAGAAAGAACGTGAAGTGCATGAGTTTAGTAGAGCAGCTCATCTCTTTCAGCCTCTTACTTCTACCATGGCTAACAGGTACCTAGAACCATTTATATCATGATTGTTGAGTGTTTCAAGTTAAAAAACAAAAGGCTCCGGCTCAGGAATAATCCAAGGGAGCCTTGGATCCCAAGGGATTGGAGCAAGGGAGCCCAAGGGAATCTCTCAAAATATACATTCAGTATACTATATATTTGAACAATTTGGCAATACCATTTAAACAATTATTTTTGCATTAGTTGTTTTAGTTTGTATATGTAATTTGCATTCTTGATCATAGTAAATTGTTTACTACTGAACATGACTTAAATTTCAGATTTGTGTCTGCAGCAACACCAGACTCAGGGCCAATGCTAAAGGATGGACTTAATGTAAACATCCCAAAGGTATATGAATATTTCTCTCCTGTGAATGAAAATGATTTCTAAATGGTAACGTTCTTATATGCACATGATACATTTTTTGTTGTTATGGGAGGTTTTTCGGAGCTGTATGGTCAGTGGATAAATGTTTAGGAAAGATAGTACAGTACATTATTCTTTAAGAGGTACAGAATTCCTTTAGGGATAGCCTCTAATAGAGAAGTACTGTACATTCTTTAAATGATGCAGCATTTAAGAAATAACGTTATGATGTCCAATAACCAAATTGGATTTAATTCTTGCCTGAAATGCTATGCGTACTAGTGGCTTTAGGTATTGTATGTACTAGCTCTATCTATAAATCCAACATTATGTTTGTAAATCAACTACGTAGGCACTTTCCTGAATAACATTTACTTTACTTCTGTACTTCAGATTGATCCAGCTACTAATGATGCAGATGTTGATGCTTTGGGTCATAATATTGCTGATGAAAGGGTTAAAGCTGCCAAGATGAACATGTTTGGCAAGCTGACTCAGACAGTGATGGACTGGCATCCTGATCGTCTTCTGTGTAGAAGATTTAATGTTCCTAACCCATACCCAGAGTAAGTTGTAACTTTCTTGTTATCATTAACACCTCAATCTATTTTTAAATGACTTACAGGTATCTTGCTGGAAGAATAGTTTTTCCTATAGCTTCAAGAACATTAAAATGGTCCTGTAAAGACATAATCCCTGTGGCATCAATGTTGACGTATCTTGGTACCTGACTAGTCATCATCCTTAGGTGTGTGCAGTGTATCACAATACCTTGGGGAGTGGTTGAATAACTTACTCTCACAATACCTTGGGGAGTGGTTGAATAACTTACTCTCACAATACCTTGGGGAGTGGTTGAATAGCTTGCTCTCACTATACCTTGGGGAGTGGTTGAATAACTTGCTCAAAAATGAACTTTTCACAAGCTCAAATCATGTTTATTGTTGTGTGCCTTAAGGAAAGTGATAGGAAGAACAGATTGTAAATCAACATATGTAACAATAGCTGATGGAAAGAATGGTTCAGTCTGAGGGAAAATACTAAAACAGTGGTAGAATGATTTGCAGATACAGTGCAACCTTGATTTGCCAAACTATATTGAACTAATCCTGTTTTTGTCTATCTGGTTATCTATTGCAACTTGTGTTGCCTTTAGGAAGCATTTCTGAAAATGTCAATTAAGGCGTATTAAGAGTGTTACCATTCATACTCTAATATTTCCCGAGGTTAATGTCACTAAGTGAAATTGTAATTTAAACCTATCATATCATGGATAACTACCAGGAAAACCTGTCTGTAAAGAGATTTCACCACATCCAGCCTCATTTCCCATGCTTCAGCCTCAAAATATCATTTTCAAAGGTGGCAGGGCCATCACCTGCACCAATTTGAAATGAAATGAAGCAGAATTTGGTTATAAATATGCTCAGTGCCTTTCTTAAGGCTCCACCTCTTGAATTCTTGTGTTACGTTCATCTACAAAAATCATTAAAATGGGATTAGAGCTATATTAGGAGTTACCATTTTATACTATAAGCTTTCCCATGTTCTATGTGGTATTTTCACTGAGCAAAATTCTAATTTCATCTGATCATATGATGGCCAACTACCAAGAGATTCTAACTATAATGAAATTTTACCCTCATTGCTAGTATTTCTCAGGAACTAACTGGTGGAAATGAACTAGGCCCATCAACTTTCCCATCAACAGGGCTATGAAATTGGACCCCCTGCATGCTAGGCAAAGCTGCACATCACCTAATTTGCCAAACACTTGTTTAGCAAAGCAAGTGAGTAAATCCATCCTGGAAAGTGTGTGTTGCAACTGATGATTCACTGAATCAAGTTTTGCCAAATCATGGTTGCACTGTAGTAGTAGAGGTAGGAAGGAGCCACTTTAAAAAAATATTGAGCTCTGAACACAGATTTATTCCTTAATTGTCACTCAACCATGTCTACCCACAGAACTGTGTTTAAAAATGGTCTGCCTCTCCCTTTCTAATGGAATGTTAGATATTACATTAATAAGCAGGAAGTTTTAGCTTGCTAGACTCCAGCTGAAATAAGCATGTGTAAGTGGTCTTAAGTGTCATATATTACCCACCATTTATATTACAATACTACATTTAATATTCTTTCTTAGTTGCTATATAATTTTAAATAAAATTTATATAAATCCTTTGCATGTTTGTTAGTAAATTAGCATTAGGTATTTTTACTTTGCAGTAACTAGTTCTGTAATAAGCCAAGCTAAACAAGATATATGTAATAAATTGTTATATGTCTTTTATCATATTTAACAGATCTTCAGTTGTTGGCGTTAGTAAATCCCAGAGAAAAAGGTTTTCAATTTTCAATTTCCTCGATGCACCAGAAGACGACAAGCCTCGTAACCGGGAAGTCTCACCCTCGCCTTCAGAAAGTGCAAAAAGAGAAACTACTGAAGATGAAGACTTGGATAAATCGGAAACCTTTGGGCTTAAGGTTTGTTTAATAATAGTTTAGTCATTTGTGAATGTCTTCTATTAAGTTTTGGTTAAATGTGTAGGTGTATGCAGCCTTCTCAAAGAATGTTTGGGTCATCAAACTCACTCTTCATAAGTTTGAGATTTTCTTCATGTAGGCTGATGCTTGCAAGTTTGCTTATATGGGATTTTAGTGTTCTATCATGAGTTGATTTCTTGTGTTCTTTAGTATACTATTCTTTACTATTGTCTCCAAACTTCACCTAGTCTTAATAAATAAAAAGCATGTAGAAGCTTTCCATGTGGATTCTGTTTTAGCAGTAAACTCCCCCAGTGTCTCACGGGTGATAAATGCTCGGGTTCGAGTTCGATCCGCGGGCATGGAAGAATGATTGGGCATCGATTCTTAACTGTCCCTCCCTGTTCACTCAGGAGAAATTTGGGACCTGGTTTTAAACTGATTGGCAGATAGTGTTTCAGGGGAAAAAATGATTGGGATAAGGTTTAAGATGAGTAACTGTAGAAGTGAAAAGTCACCCTAGAACTTGGGGCAAAGAGAATGGACATCAGTGCATTAAGATCTTGCTGTTTCTAAAGAAACTAAGTTGTCAAGCAGAGACAAATTTATGGTTCATTTATTGATTTTTATATTCATAAGCTATGACTGACATGCACCTTATGTAATGATAGTGTTTCTCAAATTTTCTCCTGTTTTTCTTGATAATTTTCTTCATAATATTAACAGGGGGTTTAGCTTTTCATACAATTTGAAAGCACATGAATTTGCACATCACATTTGCACATCGTAAGTACATCTGCACTTTCTTCACCTCTTATTTTACTACAATATTTTCTACATATAAAATTAATACTATGTGAAGAATTACATGAACAAAAACAATCATAAAAATAAGGAAACTGATTTAAGAAAAGAAAAATTTTATTAAATTATTTAATTTTTACTCATTTTCTAGATTCCAGTAGATGGGCCACCTACAATGGATCTTTTTAAAGCCATCTTTCAAAGTTCTGGATCTGAGTCGAACTCAGATAGTGAGGATGAAAAACCTACCAGCATTAAAATGAAACAAGACTCTTGTAAAGATACACAATCCCAAAGGTTTGGTCCCTCAATTGTAGAAACTTCTCTGAGCAGTCAGGGTAAATATACATCTGGATCAGAGATGGACAGTGGCAATAGCTGTGTTGTAACAATGGCTTCTATTGGAAATACCTTGGAAAACAAAAGTGCTGAAGATACAAGTAAGGATTTAGATACTGTTAAGAGGCCTGATAGACAGAGGGTTCGTATAAGCAGGTTTGAACCAAATAAGGATGGCTCCAAAGGCGAAGTCGAGTGTTTGCCGAAACCAGTTTTTATTCAGCGTAGAAAAAAATCTGCTGATACTGAAGCAACTCCTGCTGAAGGAATATTTGCTAATATAGATTTTGAAGAACTTAATAGTTATAGAAACACTGAAGCGCTTGCCATTCAAAATCAGACAACCAATATTACAGATAAGGTAAAAGAAAGTGTTAATAAAAGTAAGAAATTTGATAGTGATTCCTCGGTAGATTCAGAGGATGAGTATGGTCCACCAGTTCCAGTACATCTAAAGAATAGGATTCAAATGATCAAGTCATCTCCATCAAGCACAGCTTCTCTGGTGCAACAGGGAAAACAGGACACTGTACCTAAGGAGCAATCCTTATGGGTTGAAAAAGTATCTAAGATTAAATCCAAAAAGCACAAAAATAAAGACAAACATAAATATAAAAAAGAAAAGAAAAAGAAGAAAGACAAGAAACATAAAAAGCATAAAGAGAAAAAACAAAAGAAAAAAGAACACAAAAGTCAGAGTAGAAAGAGCTCAAGCTGCAGTAACTCTGACTTGTCAGACAGTGATTGACATGTGCACTATGGTTATACATCATCTATTCCTCTGGAACAGTTGAAAGATTAGTCCATAAGGAAGAGAAAAGGGTCACAGGTATACAGTGACAACCAAGTAATAATAATATACCAAACAAACTCCTGCCAGTATTTCCTTTCTTTATCCTTTAAACAGTAAGAGGGAATGTAGTGGTAGCTATCAACAGTATCCCACAATTGTCATGATTCAGGTGCGACAATGTACTATCATAATAGGGGTAGGTAACACAATGGTACTGTAATTGGGGTAACAACCTGAATTTACAAATTGAAGCAAATCCTCTTTTTTCTGATAATGTTAGGTGTTCAAGGCTCTTTCTCATAGTAAAATTTTATCCTATTTTGAATGTGGAACGTCTCTTTCAATAAGTGGAATATATATTGTAAATATGTTAGAATAACCCTCTTAAGGGTCAAATGCAATACAAAACTTAATTTATTTTAAATTGAGGTATAATATAGACATTGTCCAAATGGTTTCAATTTCACATGTCCACAGAATTTTCTTAAGCCTGCAAAGTAAAACTTCACAGTTTAAGGATTCTTCTGTGAGCAATCGGTGAGCAATGAAATTAGCCAAATCCCCATTTTCTGAATATTTTGTTCTATACTTCCAATAACAGGAGGTCATTAAAGATAATTGGGGGTTAACCCCCATTACCTGTGATGTCACAACCTGATTTGGCAGCAGAATACACTTATTTAGAATACCAAATAGCAACAATTTTACTGTAATTTGTTTTCTACTTATACACAAGGGATTTTTTTATTAAAACCTCATTATATGTATTTTTAACACATGTTTATGTTAAAATACCTAAATAAAAAAAATTGTCTCGTGATCTTTTATTCATAGTCTCCCCAGCGTGGTGCCCTCTTTTTGATAATTACAGGTACTCAATTGTCCAGATTTTCAGTTATACAGATATTCAGAGGTACCAACTGATCCAGATAATCAGTTTCATTGTAGTTTGCTTTGTTTCGCTACTGTAATAAAAAAAAAAGACACCACTTCATTTCTGTGAAGTACAGGTATCTAGTTCTGTAGAATTCAACAATATATTTTTATCTACAGTACATGTCATGTTTAAGGTCTAGGTCGACCAGGACTTTTTCCTCATTTCTTCCCCTGAAAAAATTTACACACGCACACGCAACACAAAGGGGGACCAAAAGTAAATGTGTCACCTAGGGTGACACCATTTACTTGTTTATGTATTAAACTATTAGGGCTCAGGAAAGGTACCTTTCTTGTACAGTATTTGTTCAAGCAGTTGCTAAAGTATGCGTTCCAGGATGTCGAGTGTGTGCGAACTGGATCTTGATAAGCTTGTTCGTTATCATTCAATTGACACATTCATGGGCACATTGGTGAACAGACTCAACATCCTGAGATGATTTCATACCCAATACCTTGTAATATGTTGACAAATATCTTCAGAGACTTACGGGTGAAAGCACATGGCAGGTATGGAGTCACCTTAGTGTTGAGTCACTTAGCCAACCTATACATAGATGTGAATATCTGGCTGGTGATCGGACAAAATGGGTTTCCAGGTTTTGTGGGTCTTCACATTCACATAGGCATATTCAGTGTTGTGCTCTTCAGTAGTTTTTGGCAGTACAAGTCTGGATATGCCTTTGAGACTGACAAGACTCTCAAACTATGAAACTCACTCTATCCAATTAGCATACCCAGATACCCACACCCACATACATCCCTTTTTTTCATAAGCCAAATTACAGTATTAAAATTTTATTAAAATTGAGAATGCTAGGAAACTACCTTGTGTATTACAGTAAAATGTTGACCCCATGTTATAATACCTTATGTATATTTTAACGGCCTAGTATATCATATCTCTAAATGTGTCAATGATAGGCGCATCAGAAAAAAGTTTATATTAAATGATATAATAAACAATGGAAGGAGAGGCTTATAGTGTAGTCTGGTAGAAGTGAAAATACTAAAATTTAGAGAAGCAGGCAGGCAGTCAATTTACAAACATTAATATATGTATTTCTTTTGTTAGTGGAGGGTCAATACAGTAATGTATTGACTGAGTCTAAGAGTACAATAATGTACTCTACTGGTATGGGGAAGATTATGGGGGTGGGGTAGAGGCTCGTGGACACATGCACTAGATTAGTGGGGGTTATGAATACAACATAAACACATTCCTTATAATAACACTTACAACCTCGGGCCGGGCTTGGGGAGTAGAAGAACTCCCAGAACCCCATCAACCAGGTATCAACTTCTTGTGCAATTTAAAGTACAATACTGTACAAGCTGAGTGAAACATTTCTAAAATATAAATGCATTATTTCAAATAATATTTATAAATACAAAATATTAGGAAACTAAGAAAAAAATATAATTTGATGAAAAATATTACGCTAGTGAAGCTGTCTGAATTTTTTTTTCGAAATTCACTAATTTCGTTGTGGCTTTATCATCCCACGGGCGGCGGTGAAAGGCTTAGTCACCCACATTTACTCTCTATACTTCGTAAACTGGCGATATCTGGCTAAAACTTCTGGTAGTAAATCATTTTGAATGAAATATTTACACATTTTCTGGACCATTTGTTATACAACTCTAAATGCCTGTATCTCTTCACACTACATCACATAGTGACGGAAGGTATGCAAATAATTTAGTTTACATTTGGTCTACATCAGCAGGTAATGAAAACTCCCAAATATACTTATAACTGAGTCTAAGCCGAGCAATAGTAACATGTAGGACTCTACTGATTTGACTGCATGATCCATATATGTGGCGCCCAGTACTATCGAGGAAATTTTAGGATGTGACTTGCATAATACGTTTATATAGCCATTATGATGACAGTTTTTTTTTATAGTTATATACTTTCTTTTGATAGTTATATTCTTACATAAATATGACATCAGAGAGATTTAAGAGATATTAAATGAGCGAACGGGAGGAGTAGGGGAAAAAATAATAATAAAAAAGGGAAGGGAAGTGGGGGAGGTGCTGGGAAATAATGAAGGAGAGCAAGAATTGAATTTACCCGATTTTTTTGTATTAATACATTAGATACAAATGCATTTGTGCAGCTACCCTAGACTATATGAAGGGGAGTACAGTGTGTCAAAAAGCAGGGCCACCATCCCTATATAGTGGCTTCGGCCGGGGGGGGGGGGACAGGAAACTGGCGGCTTGTCTAAGGTCCCTCCCTTCCCCTCCCACTTCCCATGGGGAAGGAGGAAGGGCGACAAGGCGCGTGCGTTGCCCCTGCTCCCTCTCTCCCTCCCTCCATAAACAAAGACGCCCCGGCCAGGGAAGGAACATAACGCGGGCTCCTGTAGTCACGGAGAATGGACAAAATACTTTAATAAGGACAGTTCTTGGGTTTGGTGGGAGTGTTCATTACTCTACACAGCAACAAGAAAGGTTCACGAAGGCTTGTCAGTCAGTGTTGGCTGCTGTTTGGTTCACATCATCAGCTGCAGCCTGATATCAAGGGGACGCAAAGTTAAAAATAACAGCAACTTCCGTCTTGTTTGGTAAGTACTGTATAGTTAGTTTAGTTCATATATTATGCACCTCATAGCCATCCTGTGGGAGGTAGTGGAAAGGGTTACAGAGGCACAAAATGGGCTCGGTGATTGAACCTCAAAATGCACTTAGCTAAGTAAGTTACAGTCGTGATGAGCTAGTTACAAAATTTAATGTATAGAGTTGTTACATCAGTAATGGATTCGAGACCGACCACAAGAGTACAGTCTCTAAATTAAGCTACATACAGAAACAATTGGGCAAAGTTTCTTTCACCCTGAATGTCCCTGTTACCTAGGGGCATTCAGGGTGAAAACAGGTACCTGGGAGTTAGTCAGCTGTCACGGGCTGCTTCCTGGTGTGTGTGTGTGTGGTGTTGGGAAAAAAAGTAGTTAGTAAAACAGTTGATTGACAGTTGAGAGGCGGGCCGAAAGAGCACAGCTCAACCCCCGCAAACACAACTAGGTGAATACATGTGTGAAGAGCCAGTGTCTGTAACAAGCCTGAGTGTTACTTATTTGATGATGTATATGTGAAGAAAACTGGCGGAGCTGTTGATATGCACGGTCGGTGAAGACAGGACCCGAGGCCTATATGACGATAGTACATCTGCATTGCATTACTGAACAGTAGGCCTGTAGCTTCGCTTTCCTTAGGAAGACCCCCAAAAAGCCATTTAGGACTCTCTGCCTCTAACCGTGCCACGTGAGACTGCTGGCACCTATACATTGGCCAGAATTCGAACTCAGGACAAAGCGCTCGCGAAACGCCAGGCGAGTGTCTTATCACTACACCACAGGGACTGCAAAGTTACGGAGTAGCTGTAACTCATGTAAGGGTATATAAAGTAGCCTACGATGTTATAGTTTATCATACAGTAGTCACGAAGTTAACAAGTAAAAATCTTGTAGGCAGTACAGGCGGCTCAGATAAAGACAAATCCAGAATGAGGTTACTTTGATAAAGAATCTAGGCTACTGAACATTTCCTGTGGACGAGTACAAAACTCTCGGGATCAGAAAAGCCATGTTTAAGTGTCGTTAAGCTGTACGACCAAAAGTTGTTATATGATGAGAAACGACCCGTCATCCAAAATTATAGTACTTGTATAATATGGAAGAAAATACAACTATGGACTGTTGCGCCCAAAAAAGTACACGATTGTACTACTAATTTTGTAAAAGGCCCTAGAAAAAAGAAAAGAAAACCCAACTTTATTTTTTCTAGACCTTGTTTGGCATATATATAGATACATGTATTAAATTATGCCTAAAACTGTGTATGCTAGGCCAAGGATTGATATTTAGGCCTAGGACAGGTTGGGTAAACATTGAGGTTACAATGTTTGACCTTTTGACATGCCCTTTAATTAGTATTCAAATAAAACACATCAATTTTGTACATTCCATACAGTAGCTGTATAGGTTTATTATTTTTGAAGGATGAGATGGAAACTATTAGTAATTTTTGTCATGAAATAATAATGTAATACTTTTGTGCAATCATTCTGTCGTAGGATTTTATTTGGTAACATATAAATCGTCTTATAGACATATACGAATAACCGAGGTAGCAGATTTTAATTAATTAATAATATATTTGTCAGGAACAAGCCTGTGTATGAATATACGTTAGGCTTCTATTGAGATTCCTGCCTTCCCTAGGTCGAATTACTGATTCTTCTGTTGTGTAGTTACTAACTCCCGGGTAGGTATTTACTGCTAGGTGAACAGGATATTAGGTGACAGAAAACGTACCGAACTGTTTCTATTCCACCCGGGATTAATGATTGTGAGTAGAGAACGAACCCAACTTCACTGCGACACCATCAATTTATTATTTAGTGGGAGAATGCCTTAAAAACAAATAAAAAAGACATTTACGGGATGATACAACCGATGAAATTACATGATCTTGTAACTTTAGTTAAACTGCATAAAACATATATAAAGCTTTACATTTTAAAAAAGAACAAATTCACAAGGGCCGTGACGAGGATTCGAACCTGCGTCCGGGAGCATCCCAGACACTGCCTTTACATTTTAAGTTGCATCCAGTGAATTTTGACTAATCCTCTTGATGGCTAGATCCATTGATATGTGTACATACATTATAACGATTATATATGGATATAAAAAACGGATAAAGTTTCCTACCTCAATAAGGCGAATTCTGAAATCGAGCCCCAATATTTTATCTATCTAAAATATTTATACGTGTGAAGGACAATTTATCTTTTTGAAAAGTTATTTGCTGCAATGGAGTGTTGCAGCCCCATCTGGCTGTAGGTCAGTGACCCAAGTCTGGC